TACCACAGAAATACAAAGGATCATAAGAGACCACTATAAACAATTACATGCTGACAAATTGGGCAATCTAGAATAAATTAATAGATTCCTAGGAACATACAATCTATCAAGACTGAATCATGATGAAACAGAAAATCTGAACAGACTGATTACTAGCAAGGAGGTTGAATCAGTGACCAGAAACCTCCCGAAAAATAGAAGTCCAGGACCAGATGGTGAATTTTGCCAAACATTAAGAGAAGAATTAACACCTATCCTTCTCAAATTCTTCCAAAAGAAATAAAAAAGGGGGAGAATGCTTCCAAACTCATTGGGTGAGGTCAGCATTACCCTGATACCAAAATCAGACAAAAACACCACAAAAAGGCAATTACAGACCAATATTCCTGATGATCATAGATGCAAAAATCTTCAACAAAATATTAGCAAACTGAGTTAAAACATACATTAAAAAGATTATACATATGATCAACTAAGATTTATTCCAGGGACACAAGGGTGGTTCAACACCTGCAAATCAAATGCGATACGCCAGATTAACAAAAGAAAGGGTAAAAAACATGTGGTCATCTCAACAGGAGCAGGAAAAGTATTTGACAAAATTAAACATTCATTTATGATAAGAACTTTCAACAAAGTTGGATATAGATGGAATATACCTCAACATTCTAAACGCCATATATGACAGACCCATAGATAACATATTCAATGGTGAAAAGCTTAAAAGATTTTCCTCTAAGATCAGGAACAAGACAGGGATGCCCACTCGTGGCACTTTTATTCAGCATAGTAGTGGGTGTCCTGGCCGCAGTGGTTAGGTGAGAAAGAGAAATAAAAGGCTTCCAAATTGGAAAGGAAGAAGGGTAAAACTGCCACTATTTGCAGATGAAATATTATACATAGAAAACCTTAAGACCCCCCAAAAAACTGTTAGAACTAATAAATGAATTCTGTGAAGTGGCAGAACACAAAAGCAATATGCAGAAATTTGTTGTTTCTTTACACTAATAACAAACTAACAAGAAATTAAGAAAACATACCCATTTATCATGGCACCAAAAAGAATAAAATACCTAGGAATAAATTTAAGCAAGAAGGTAAAAGACCTGTATATCGAAAACTACAAGGCATTAATGAAAGAAATAGAAGATGTTATAAATGAATGGAAAGATATTCCATGCTCATATCAAATTCATTGGAAGAATTAATATTGTTAAAAATATCCATACTAAGGGGAACCCTCCTACACTGCTGGTGGGAATGTAAGCTAGTTCAACCATTGTGGAGAGCAATATGTAGGTTCCTCAGAAAACTAAAAACAGAAATACCATTTGACCTGGGAATTCCACTCCTAGGAATTTACCCAAAGAAAATAACTTCTCTGATTCAAAAAGACAGATGCACCCCTATGTTTATCACAGCACTATTTACAATAGCCAAGATATGGAAGCAACCTAAGTGCCCATCAGTAGATGGATGGATAAAGAAGATGTGGTACATATACACAATGGAATATTACTCAGCCATAAGAAGAAAACAAATCCTACCGTTTACAACAACATGGATGGAGCTAGAGGGTATTACGCTCAGTGAAATAAGCCAGGCGGAGAAAGACAAGTACCAAATGGTTTCCCTCATTTGTGGAGTATAACAACAACGAAGCAAAACTGAAGGAACAAAACAGCAGCAGACTCACAGACTCCAAGAAGGGACTAGTGGTTAGCAAAGGGGAGGGGAGGGGAGGACGGGTGGGGAGGGAGGGAGAAGGGGATTGGGGGTATCGTGATTGGTGCACATGGTGTGTGTGGGGTCACGGGGAAGACAGTGTAGCTCAGAGAAGACAAGTAGGGACTCTGTGGCATCTCACTACACAGACAGTGACTGCAGTGAGGTATGGGGGGGACTCGATAATAAGGGTGAATGTAAGAACCACATTGTTTTGCTTGTGAAACCTTCATAAGAGTGTCTATCAATGATACCTTAATAAAAAAATGTCCATACTACCCAAAGCAATATACATATTCAATGCAATTCCTATAAAAATTCCAATGGTATTTTTCACAGAAATTTGGAGAAACAATTCCAAAATTTGTATGGAACCAAAAGAATTCGACTAGCCAAAGTAATCTTGAGAAAGAAGTACGAAGCAGGAGGCATCACACTCCCCGATTTCAAACTATATCACAAAGCTACGGTAACTGAAACAATATGGTAATTAAAAATTGACACATAGATAATTGGAACAGAATAGAGAGCTCAGAAATAAATCCATGCATATATGGTCAATTACTTCATGACAAAGGAACCATGAATATAAAGCTCAGAAAAGACAGTCTCTTCAACAGATGGTGTTAGTAAAATTGGACAGCACCTTCAAAAGAATGAAACTGGATCATTATCTTACACCATACACAAAAATTAACCCAAAATGGAATAGATTTGAACATAAAACCTGAAACCGTAGAACTCTTAGAAGGAAATGTAGATGGTAAGCTCCCTGACACCGGTCTTGACAATAATTTTTAAATCTGACACCAAAGCAAAAGCAACAAAATAAAAACTCAAGAGGTGGGATGACATCAAACTAAAGGCCTTCTGCGCAACGAAGGATGCTGTCAACAAGATGAAAAGGCCGCTTACTGAATAGGAGAAAATTTTTTCAAATCATATATAAGATCAGGGGCTATTATCCAAAATACATCAAAAAGATCACCCATCATGACCAAGTGGGATTTATTCCAGGGATGCAAGAATGGTACGATATTGAAAAATCCATCAACATCATCCACCACATCAACAAAAAGAAGGACAAAAATCATATGATAATCTCAATAGATGCTGAAAAAGCATTTGACAAAATTCAACATCCATTCATGATAAAAACTCTTTAAAAAATGGGTATAGAGAGCAAGTACCTCAACATAATAAAGGCCACATATGACAAACCCACAGCCAACATCATACTTAACAGTGAAAACCTGAAAGCTTTTCCCGTAAGATTGGGAGTAAGACAAGAATGCCCACTCTCCCCACTTTTATTCAACATAGTTCTGGAGGTCCTAGCCATGGTAATCAGACAAGAGGCATCCAGATTGATGAGGAAGAAGTCAAACTGTCACTGTTTGCAGATGACATGATAGTGTACATAAAAATCCCTAAAGAATCCACCTCAAAACTACTAGAACTAATGACTGAATTCAGCAAAGGTACAGGATATAAAATTAATACACAGAAATCTGCTGTATTTCTATATACTAACACAAACTAGCAGAAAAATAAATCAGGAAAATAACTCCATTTACAATTGCATCAAAAAGAATAAAATACGTAGGAATAAACCTAACCAAAGAGGTGAAAGACCTTTGCTCTAAAACTACAAGACACTCATAAGAGAAAGAGGACACCAATAAATGGAAACACACCCCGTGCTCATGGATAGGAAGAATTAATATTGTCAAAATGGCCATCCTGCCTAAAGCAATCTACAGATTCAATGCAATCCCTGTCAAAATAACTACAGCATTCTTCAATGAACTAGAGCAAATAGTTCTAAAATTCATATGGAACCACAAAAGACCTTGAATAGCCAAAGCAATGCTGAAGAGGAAGAATAAAGCTGGGGGGATTGTGCTCCCCAACTTCAAGCTCTACTATAAAGCCACAGTAATCAAGACAATTTGGTACTGACACAAGAACACAGCCACAGATCAATGGAACAGACTAGAGAGCCTAGATATAAACCCAAGCATATATGGCCAATTAATACATGATAAAGGAGCCATGGACATACAATGGGGAAATGACAGCCTCTTCAACAGCTGGTGCTGGCAAAACTGGACAGCTACATGCGAGAGAATGAAACTAGACAAAAGTAAACGTGAAATGAATCAAAGATCTGAATGGAGTCATGAAACCATAAAACTCATAGAAGAAAACACAGCCAAAAATCTCTTGAAAATAAGCATGAGCGACAGCCTCTTCAACAGCTGGTGTTGGCAGAACTGGACAGCTACATGTAAGAGAATGAACCTGGATCACTGTCTAACCCCATACACAAAAGGAAACTCCAAATAGATCAAAGACCTGAATGTAAGTCATGAAACCCTAAAACTCTTAGGAAAAAATATAGGCAAAAATCTCTTGGACATAAACATGAGCAACTTCTTCATGAACTTATCTCCCCGGGCAAGGGAAACAAAAGCAAAAATGAACAAGTGGGACTGTATCAAGCTGAAAAGCTTCTCTACAGCAAAGGACACCATCAGTAGAACAAAAAGACATCCTACAGTATGGGAGAATATATTCATAAATGACTCATCTGATAAGGGGTTAGCATCAAAAATATATAAAGAACTCATATGCCTCAGCACCCAAAAAACAAATAACCAGCTTAAGAAATGGGAGGAGGAGCTGAACAGACACTTCTCCAAAGAAGAAATCTGGATGGCAAAAGGCACATGAAAAGATGCTCCACATCACTAATTATCAGGGAAATGCAAATTAAAACCGCAATGAGATATCACCTCACAGCAGTTAGGATGGATCCAAAAGACAAGAAACAACAAATGCTGGTGAGGATGAGGAAAAAGGGGAACCCTCCTACCCTGTCAATGAGAATGTAAATTGGTGCAACCATTGTGTAAAGCAATATGGAGGTTCCTCAAAAACATTAAAAATAGAAATACCACTTTATCCAGTAACTCCACTCCTAGGAATTCACCTGGAGAAAACAAGGTCCCTGATTAAAAAAGACAGATGCACCCCTATGTTTATCACCACACTATTTGCAATAGCCAAGATATGCAACCGACCTAGGTGTCCATCAGTAGATGAATGGATAAAGAAGATGTGGTACATATACACAATGGAATACTATTTGGCCATAAAAAGAAAAGAAATCCTCCCATTTGCAACAACATGGATGGAGCTAGAGGGTATTATGCTCAGTGAAATAAGTCAGACAAAGAAAGACAAATACCATGTGATTTCATTTACATGTGGAATCTAAAAAACAAAAGCACTGACACCAAGCTCATAGGTACAGAGAATAGATTGGTTGTTCCAAGACAGAGGGGATAGGGAATGGGTGGAATAGGTGAACTGTTCTGTTTTTTTCAGTTTAACTAAATTGAATTTAAAAACCCACATATACTGATTATTATCCTGATGATTAGAAAATGCTGATGAAAGAAAAATTTTTAAAAACCTAAATCCTAAACAAATGGAGAAGAGAAATTGTGTTCATGGATTGGAAGACTCAAAATAGTAAAGATACCAATTCTCCCCAGTGTGATCACAGATTTAACATAATGCCAATAAAATTTTCAGGAGGAATTTTTTAGGTTTAGAGGGGCTGACTATACAGTTCTGAGAAGAGGAGTGAAGCTGGGGGACTCACACTGTGCAGCCCTGAGACCTACTGTGTGGCTGTGGCTTTCACGACAGTCAGGCTAATAGACCCAGGAGAGGGCGCAGAACTAGACCCACACAGACGAGGCCATTCACACAAAAGTGCAGAGGAACTCACAGAAAAAGGGTGGGCTCTTCAACAAACTGCGCTGTCGGTCATCCACACACCAAGGAAGTGAACCCTGGCTACAAAGAGCATAGGTCTAAGTGTACATCATGAAGCTGTGACACTTTTAGGAGAAAGAAATTTTCGTGACCTGGGGCTAGGCACAAAGTTCTTAGTAATGCGTGAACAGCACCATCCCAAAAAGCAAGCCGATAAATCAGATTTCATCAAGAATTTAAAGTTTTGCTCTGTGAGATACACCGTTAAGACAACAAAAAGACAAGCTAAACCTCGGAGAAGACATTGCAAACCGCGCCCATGTGACAAAGGACTGGCTCTAGAAGGTACAAGGAATTCCCTAAACAGGAAGAAGTCAAACAATCCAGTTTTAAAAGGGGCAAAGGACAGGACACCTCAGCAGAGAGGGTGTCTGTATGCAAATGAGGACATACAAAAGTGTCTGACATAGGCCATCGGTGCAGATCAACTTCAGGGAGCCTTCACTTCACACCTGTCAGATTGCTACAACTTAAGGTGACATCAAACGATGGGAAGGATACAAAGGCTGAAGCTCTCACTCTAGAAAACAGTTGGCAGTTTCAGCCACACAGCCCAGCAGCCTGTCTTTCGGTGAGAAATGTGAGCCCAGGTCCACGCAGACTTGTGCACGAATGTCCACAGCCACATTCACAGCCCCAGGGGGACTCTGCAGGTCCCTCCTGCAGGGGAGCCATAAGCAATTGCCGCCCATCCACCCAGCTGGCCTCCAGGTAAGCACAGAGGAAGGACCACCAGGCCTCCGCCTCCCTGAGGGGAAGGAGCCAGGCTTAGCCCATCCCTGTAGGAGGACAGCCGGGGCAGGGCATGACCACAGAGGGCCTGGGAGGGGGTGCTGCCTGGTTCTGAATGCAAGGGTGCTCACGAGAACCTAGACACGTGCACAAAAACGGGGCAATTTCACTGTGTGCTTAAAAACAACCAGGCAACAGCCAAGAGAGGCTCCTCCCGCCTCCGGTCAGACTGGACTGCAGGCTGGCAGGGCCTCCCGGTGTCGCTCTGTCTGAGCTCCTAGCCTCAGGCGCTCTCTGGTCACCTGATGCTGACCAGCCCTTAGTCTGAGCCCTGGCACCCACCCCAGCTTCCAGCTGGGGGAGGGTGGGGTCAGAGGACAAAGTCTGAGCAGCCTCCAGGGAGGGGCTGGGGCCACCTGGGCAGGTCACCAAAGAGGGTGGGTGAGCTGGGGGCAACTATGGGCAGCAAGTGGAGGGGATGACCCTGGGTGGGCGCAGCCCTTGGGGAGCCCTGGCCCAGCCGCGCTGAGTCTCCGCTGGCTGGCCTGTGAACTGGAGGTGGGTGGCACCAGCCCAAAGCACACCTGCTCCCAGGTCGGTCACCTCCCTGGCTGAGGGCCCAGGTCCAGGTGGGCGGTAACGAGGCGGGACGGCACCCGGCAGTGCCTGAGGGGCAACAGTCTGGCTTCCACCTGCTGCAGCTGCTCGTCCACCAGCCCAGGTACGGGGTCTGTCCTGGTCTGGGGGCTGACCAGTCCTGAAGGGACTATTCTGAGACAGGGGTGCACCCAACCTCTTTGCTGGATCACTGGGAGTCAGGCTGGGAGGGTCTCAGGTTGCCTTGTTCCCTGGAGGGGGTTCCTGGTGTCCTTGGCCTCTGCCTATCACCTGTTTTTGATGTAGCCTGTGGTCTGGGAGCTGGCTGGGGACACTGGCTGGGCCTGTGGCCTGACCGCAGATCAAGCAGGTCACCTATCCTCGCTGAGCCTCTGTCTTCCCTGCTTAAAATGGGATCCAACCGGCCTGTCCCGTCCATGGGGCCAGGAGCCAGGCAAGGGCAGCGCACACCCCTCTGCCTCGCTCAGTCTGGATGAGTCGTTGGCAATGTTTGCCTTATTGCGGGAAACGCAGGATGACCCAAACCCGCCGGAGGCTTCTGAGAGCCGCTCCCACCGAGCAGTGTTGCCAGCGGGGCTGCGGCTCCCGATGACCAGCGTGCAGGGCCTGGCTCAGGACCCCTGGGGCCAGGAGAGGGCCTGCAGGGGCCGTGCCACTGGGCTGGGCACCGTGGCCTTGTGCAAACAGCATTCTTGGGTCAGCCCCGGTCGGCTGCTGAGGGCCTATGGGACCAAGTAAAGAGTTTCAAAATCTGATTAGAGAAACCCAAGGTCAGGTTTTCAAATAGAAACCAGATGTTTTTGTTAAGAACTTCTGGCCTCAAGTTCCTTTAATCAAGAAAACGTGCTTCCCAGGACCCAGCTAACCTCATTCGCAGGGTTACACACGGAGCCCAGGCGGTCACCTGTGCCACCTGGCTCAGGACCAACCCCACGGCTCACCGAGAAAACCCTGCCCTAGGAGAGGCCTGGTGTAGGGGCTGCCGACAGGGGGCAGGTGGGTGGGAGAGGGGGCCCTTGGTGCCCCGAGCTCCGTCTGGAGTGCCCCTGCACGGCTGGGCCTCCTCCTCCTATGGGGAGGCTGGGGAGAAAGCAGGGGTCCTGGGAGGGTAGGGAGAGGGGCTGCCCAGATAGCATCATGGGGGTAGTAGCTGCCCCAGTCCCTCCTGTGGCATTAGAAGGGGCTCCCCCTGCGAGCGCTGTGTCAGCAGACAGGGCCCCTCTGACGCCCATGCACCCTGGGCAGCCCACTCCTGTGGCCCCTGCTCTGGCCAAGGGGCACTGTCTGAGCCCCAGGGAGGTCGCAGTGGCTCTCCAGGGCAGCAGCGTCTGCAGCAAGTGGAGGGTGCCCGCTGCTGCCCACCCGCCCCAGGGCCAGCCCTGCCAGCACCATGGGGCTGACCTGCAAGGAGCGCATCCTGACCGGCCTGCTGGGTGCTGCAGTGGCCTCAGGCCTCACCACACTCATCCTCTTCCTGGTGGAGGCCACTGACATCCTCCTGCCCGCAGACTCCAAGGTGCGCTCTGGGCTCTGGGCAGTGGGAGGGCTGTGCCCGCCCTCACCCACTGACCTGCTGTCACTCCCAGTTTGGGATCGTGTTTGACGCCGGGTCCTCCCACACATCTGTCTTTGTGTATCGGTGGCCAGCAGACAAGGAGAATAACACAGGCGTGGTCAGCCAGGCCTCGGCCTGCCAGGTGAAAGGTCAGTGGGCAGTTCCATCGAAAGTGGACATGTATGGGGAACTGTCAGTATTGGATTCCCAGCGGGGGGAAGGTTTGGGAGGCGGCACAAGCTGAGCCAGGTGGCAGCTGCATTCCCATCCCTCAACAAATCAACCTAAAGGAAAAGGAGCGCAGAGAGGTTCAGGGAGTTGCCTACAGTGGCACAGCTAGTCACAGGGCTCTGGAGGTGCACCACCTGAGCCTGCAGAGAACTGGCACAGCCCTCAGGCCATGCCCCATCCTTCCTGCCTCTCCTGGCTCCTGCGGCTCCAGGCATCCCTGGGTCCGTGGCACGCCACCCCACCCTCTCCCTCTGACTCCCCGAGCCCCCTTCCTGTGGGTCTCGAGTCTCCCTCCCCTCTCCCTCAGAAGGGTGACTACTGGACATAGGGCTCACCCAGGGAATGACCACCACCAGGATGATCGCAGCTTAAGATTCTTACTATCACATCTGCAAAGACCCTTTTCCCAAATAAGTCACATGCAGCTGCCAGGCGTTGGGATGTGGATGCATCTTCTGAGGGGTCCTTGCAGCTCGGCTAAGGCGCTGGACCACATCCTGGGGTGTTATGTATGTTTCAGGGCCTGGAATCTCCTCCTATACCTCCAACCCTATAGAGGCCGGTGAAAGCCTGCAGGGCTGCCTGGAGGAGGCATTGGCACTGATCCCAGAGGCCCGGCGCCCAGAAACGCCCATGTTCCTGGGGGCCACAGCTGGCATGAGGCTGCTCAGGTGAGGGGTCAGCGCAGGGCCTGCACATGTCAGTGGAGAGCAGCTGCACGTGCAGGGGGCATGGGCTCCAGCCAGCTTGCATCCCGGTCCCCTGCTCAGCCGTAAGAACAGCTCTCAGGCGGAGGACATCTTTGCGGCGGTTAGCCGGGTCCTGGGCCAGTCTCCCGTGGACTTCCGGGGCGCTGAGCTCCTGGCTGGACAGGATGAAGGTGCCTTGGGTTGGATCACCATCAACTACGTCCTGGGCATGCTGGTGAAGGTGCCAAGGGCGGCCCGGAATGGGGGCGGGGGCCAGGGCTGCGGGTCAGGGTGGCTGGGCCCAGGACTCAGTTCCCCCCTGTGGTCAGTATTCCTTCTCTGGAGAATGGGTCCAGCCTCAGGAGGGGACGCCAGTGGGCGCCCTGGACATGGGTGGGGCCTCCACCCAGATCACCTTTGTGCCTGGAGGCCCCATACTGGACAAGAGCACCCAGGCCACCTTCCGCCTCTATGGCACAGAGCACAGCGTCTACACCCACAGCTACCTCTGCTTTGGGCGAGACCAGGTGCTGGGCAGGCTCCTGGCTGGGCTGGTGCAGGTCAGCTGGGCCTCGGGGGCGGAGGGAGGCCACGGGGTGGCCCCGCGGCACCAGGGTGCTCAGGGTGGCCTCCCTTTCTCCCTGCAGAGCAGCCGGGCCCCCATCATCCGTCACCCGTGCTACCACAGCGGCTATCGGGGCTCCCTGGCCCCGGCCCCCCTGTACGAGTCGCCCTGTGTCCACATCGCAGCCTCCCCAGACCTCACCAGGAACCTCACTGTGGAAGGGACAGGGAACCCTTGGGCCTGTGTTGCGGCCCTTAGGCGCCTCTTCAACTTCTCCAGCTGTGCGGGCCGAGGACACTGCGCCTTCAATGGGGTCTACCAGCCCCCTGTGCAGGGCCGGTTCTACGTAAGTGCTCCCTGCCCGCCCCAGGGTCTCAGGGCCTGATCCCAGGTGGGCCCCCAGTGGGGTGGGGACTTGCCCTGGTGCATCCTGGCGCCTCCTGCTAACCCGGGCCCACTAGGGCATCACGCCCAGGCAGGCACATCCATCTCCCCTCCCTGCCCCCAGGCCTTCTCCAATTTCTACTACACTTTCCACTTCCTGAACCTCACCTCCAGGCAACCGCTGGCCGCCGTCAACGCCACAATCTGGGAGTTCTGCCAGAGACCATGGAAGCTGGTGGGTGGGCCAGGGCACCCCCCCCCCGACACTGGGCCTCCCCTGCCTACCTGGGCCGCAGGCGCAGACTTCACCGAGCAGGGACTTGGCAGGACCCCATCCCGGGCAGGGTGGCTAGTGAGGCCCCAGGAGAGCCGAGGGGGGTGGACAGCCCCATGGGCATCCTGCTCCAGGAAGGAGATCTAGAGTCGCGCCCCGGGGTGGGGCCAGCTTTCGGAGAGCCAAGGGGCAGGGCCTCACCCACTCTCACCTCTGGGGACCCAGGTGGAGGCAAGCTTCCCAGGGCAGGACCACTGGCTCCGCGACTACTGTGCCTCCGGCCTGTACATCCTCACGCTTCTGCTCGAGGGCTTTGGGTTCAGTGAGGAGACCTGGCCTGGCCTTGAGTTCCGCAAACAGGTGACCACCTCCCAGGGCTCCAGCCATCAGTCCCAGGGCAAGGGTGGGCTGGGGGCTCTGGGGCAGCTGCCTGTAGCCGTGACCTGCCCATGTGTCTGCAGGCTGGGGGCACCGACATTGGCTGGACGCTAGGCTACATGCTGAACTTGACCAACATGATCCCGGCGGAGGCGCCTGCCCTGTGGCGGGCAGAAAGCTACGGGGTCTGGGTGGCTGGCATCGTCTTTGTGGTGCTGACCCTTGTGGCCATTCTCGGGGCTGCTGCGGTCCAGCTCTTCTGGCCCCAGGACTAAGCCAGGCTGCCACCTGATGTGAGAAGGCCGAGGACCAGCTCCCACAGCCAGGGTGGCCATCCCAGCCTGAGCCCCGGCCTTCCTGAGGCCCTGACTTCCGTGGGGCCTCCTTGTCCTGGGGGCTCTGGCCCCACAGTCAGATGCCCTGCTCTGCCCTCAGGGTCCTTCTGGCCATGGAGGTTTGCTGTGCACCCCCTGCCCCCAACCACAGCCTCCCCATCCCAGCACTGCTGGGTCACCCTCTCCCCCATACTTCCCAGGACATTGGGTGCCTTTCTGCGCAAATACCAGGCCACAGGACCCCTGTAGCATTCTGTTCCGTGGCTGTGTGGCCTGCAGTCCCAGTGGGCCCTGGGGCCAGGACGAGCCTGGGATAGAGTGACCGCTGGAGCAGGCGGGGGCTGGCTGCCCGGGAGGGGCTGGCAGTGGGGCCTGGCCTCGCGGGGAAGCCAGGAGTCGGCCTCTGCCTGGGTCCCTGGTGTCATGGGCCTGAGGGGCAGTGTCCAGGCTCTGCATGCCTCTCCTGGGTGGCCACAGCCCACACCCACAGAAGCCTGTCAGGCCCTCTCCACAGCCAAGCCCCGAATGTGCAGCACAGCATGGTGGGGACAGGTGGCTTTATTAAAACATTCCTTGCCATGAGACTAAGGGCCGATCTCACCGGGCCCCAGGTGGGGGCTCCTCACACACGCTGGCTGGCTGGGACCACGGAGCACTTGGGGAAAATGCCGACGTGGCTGTCCAGGTGGCCCTCCAGCCATGCCTGGTCCACTGCAGGGGGAGGCCAGGGTTCCTCAGGGCGTCGCCCACCCACAGAAGCCCCCTGTGCCCCGGCAGGCAATGGGGAGAGGGCAGCTGCCTGCTCTACCTTCACATAGGACGTCCACGATGTCCCCCCGCCTCAAGGCCAGGTCCTCGGGCTCCTAGGCTGAATAGCTGTGCTGGGCCACCACCTGGTAGAGGACAGGCCGGCCGGCCACTCCCTGCAACAGGATCAGGGCTGCAGATGGCCGGGCCCTGGGGGAAGGTCCCAGGCCACCTCCACAGCCACCCTGACCCTTGCCCGTGCTCGCCCGAGTCTCACCCAACACGGTAGCCACAGCCCCTCGGGTTCAGCTGCCGAGTCCCACCAGGCCCTCTGCAGTGGCTCCTCCCCAGAGAGGGGCACCCAGCGTCCATTGTCACCAGGGTCTCTGTAACTGCAGAGAGACTGCTCAGAGCAGGAAGTGAGGGAGCTGACCACCTGCACCAGGGTGAGGACCTGCAGGGAGGGCCTGACCTCTGATGTGCCAGCCTCTTCCAGCTGCTGCCCTGGGGCTCCCACTCTGGGCTTGGGGCTGAGAGGGGCCCGGCTCAGAGCCCACCTCCAAAACCCGGCTCAGCGGGTGGGTGGCTTTCTGGCCCACCTGAGCTGCCCACACTGGGCCTGGGGAGCCAGGGCCGGGCTCAGCAGAGCCCGCAGGCTGGACAGGTCAGCTCCTCTCTGGGCCTTCAGGGCCAGGGTGAAGGTACACTGCACTGTGATGGGCACTAAGGACTCGGGCCCCCCTGAAGCCACTCCCTGGGGCCAGGCAAAAAGGTAGTGGTTGGTCTCAAAGCCTCAAGTTTGTGTGCCCAGGGCCTGGCTGGCGTGGGCTCCAGCTGGGGGGATGAAGGCAGGGGCTGAGAGGGTGGGAAGGGGCTGGTGTCCTCAGGGCTTGCAAGACTTCAACAGCTGGGGTCCCCACAGCCATTCAGAGGGACAGGGCCTGAGGAGTGAGGGTGACATGAGGGACTGCGCCTCTCACCCCAGCCCCCACGGGGTCCTCAGCTGCCAGCAGCCCTGCAGAAGGAGACAGAGCAAGACCCAGGTGGCCTCTAGTCAGAACAACGGGGTAGAGAGGCTGTCAGAACCACATGCCCACGGGACGCCTCCTCGGGGGACAGAGCGGCCGCTCCCAGCTCCCGAGGTGTCTGCTGGCTCCCATCTACATTGTGTCCAGGATGCCCCTACCTGGAGGGACCTGTCTGGCGATTTGTTCCATGCTGAGTATCTGCAAGAGAGAGCCAAGGCCTGGGGTGGGGCCTGGGGGCAGGGGCAGGAGCAGGGGTGGGAGAAGGCCTGGGCAGGCAGGGGACAGGGGCCTGGGGTGGGGCAGATGTCCTCCGTCAAGGGCTTGTCAGGGGAGGTGCCTGGATGCTGTCCCAGCAGAGCCGGTGGGGAGGGGTGTGGCCTCTGAGCTGGTCTGGCAGGTGCGAGCCGGAAGCGCAGCCCAGTTAGGGGTGAGGTCAGGACATGAACCAGGTCCCTGCAGGCCTGGAGGCCCAGGCAGGCTGCTCCGCACCAGAGGACCCGACGTTCCCCGGCCCGCCTGGGCCGGCTCCAGCTGGGTGGTCCCTGTGACCCGGGGAGGCCGAGGGCCAGGGCCAGGGGCCAGCTGGACTTCATCCCCAAGTTGGGCACTGACACAGCGGGTGCGCTCAAGGCGCCCCGAGATCCAGGCCGCACTGGCTGGCTCACTCAGACCCTGATTTCAATGCGGGGGTTCCTGAAGTTTCAACCTAGTTTGTAAATGAAGCATTTAGATTTCACCAGATTTACCAGCTGCCTAAAACAATCAGGCCAGGAAGGTGAAGAGCTTAAAACCCCGTATGTGGAGTGAGTGCAGGTGCAGCCACTCGTGGGGATGTGATCGCGCACAGGCGCGGTCACGGGAAGAGTTGCCGTTAAGGCGCCATCTGTTACGTGCGTTAACGTCGGCGAAAGGAAAAGAGAAAACCCCTCTATTGTTTAAGTCCTTCCATAAATTTGATGTTAACAGCCACCTTTTCTGTGCAGGGGGATCCCCAACTCCTGGAGTGGGCTTTGGGCTGTGGTTAGCCCACCCCTCCTGCCCAGGAGAAGCCAATGTCTCTCCCTTTGGCCCCACCCCAGCACGGGGTCAGTGGGAAGCCCTGTGTCCAGGTAGGAAGGTGGGGGAGATGGGGGCTAGGCTGAAGGGCAGGACCCCAGCGATGCACAGGCTGTGGGCCGGGCCTCACGGGATCCAGGGTGCGTGAGGCCCCCCAGGCTCCTGCCTGTGCCCTGGTGGGCATCAGTGTAGCCCCCATCCCACTGGTCCCTGTGGCCGGCTCAGGCCATGTCCCCAGCCTGGCGGAGAAAGCCGAAGCTCTGTCCCAGCTGTGGATGCCGGTCCCCACGCTCAGGTTGGGGTGGGGTGCCTCCAAGCACTGTGGCCCTTGCCCACCTCACCGGGGGCCAGGCTCACATACCTGCTCACCATAGGTGACTGGCTCACAGTGGGCAGAGGGCTTTTGTGAAGGGGCCCTAAGAGAAGGCCTGAGTGGGGACGGGGGGCGGCGCAGAGCAGGGCCCGGGGTTTGCGGTTTGCTCTGTGTCCCCACACCCTGTGCGGCCTTGAGCGGCCTCCCACCCCACGCCTGGCGGGACAGCCCCATTCCTGAGGCCCAGGCCCGGCTGCGAGGGCACTGCTGTGTCAGCCCACAACCCCACCTGCACCCTTCCTGGGACCCTCCAGGCTGCCTGGAGTCAGGATGGCCTGAGGTCTCAGCTCCCCCTCTGCTACCCCCGAGGCCTAAGTGGGGGCTCTATGGGGGGCAGGCAAAGGCCCCTTTCCCTTTGAGCGGGATGGGCTCAGAACAAATGGGGGTGTGGGGAGGGCTGGGAGAGCACAGTTTCAGTCTGGAAAGGGGGTGTGACAGTGCTAGCCCTGGCGGGGAGTGGCCACCCTGGGTCCACACAGGACTGTGGCCTCAGGGGTATGACAGGCCCTCACCCCAGGGAGAAGCAGGCATACAGAGGTAAACCAGCCCCTTCCCACCGAGGGGCAGCACTGGGCCTGTCCTTGCCGTCTGCATCCTGAACCTGTGGGCACAGGGTGACAGTCTTGCTCAGTCCCCCTGATGGGCAGGTGGGCACGGCACCACTCCCCCCAAGCAAGATGGCATGATGTTTACAGACTTTCAAGTGGGTGAGACAGCCACCCCCAACCTCAGGTCAGAGGAATGTTGGGGGCCCTGGAGGGTTCAGGGCATCTGTGGCATTTTCCTTCTTTAACTGTAAAAGGTCTAGAGGGCTGTGGCCTGCGATATGCCAGACGGGAAGTCTGGCCGCCTGGAAGGCCACCCACCCACCTGGGACTGCTGAGGTCGGGCCCCCTCGTACTGGTCATCAGGGACAGCAGAGGCCACCACCTGAGGGCAGACAGCAGGGAATGCCGGGTTGGGGGCACCCAGCCGCACCCCAGGGGCCCTGCTGCGCCAGCCCTCACTGCTTGTCCTGCACCCCATCTCCCATCTGCTGGGTGGGGGCTGTCCACATCTGGGCCAAGGCTGCTGGACCACTGACAAAGTACCTGTACTGATAATTTTAGGTTTAGTACGATTTTTTAAATCTCTATTTCTTAGAAACAGGCCTGTGCTATGACAGTTGAGCCCTAAATTGGATAAATGCAGTTCAGGGCCTCCTCCACCCTGCCCGGCCTGCACCGGCAGAGACGGTGGTGTCTGTGACCTGCACCCTCACTGGCAGCTGCACCCACTGCCAACAGCATGCTGGCCCTTAGTGACCTTGGGGGTGCTGGGGCCCAAGGGCCGCCAGCCTGAAATCAGAGTAACTTCTTGGGAGTTTTCTGCCCCCCGCCGCTGAGTCTGGGGTGAGCTCCTCCCCTGTGTTCCGTGGTCAGGTGTTGCTGCCTGGCCCGGGCACCCCAGGGCGGGCATGATATGGCCCAGGCCACCCCACCTTGGCCCTCTCTGGGAGTTCATTCTCTGAGGCAGAGACACAGAGACAGGGAGGCCGGGGGCCGCAGCTGAGGTGGGGTCAGGCAGGGCAGCAGGGGTGCCTGTAAGAGGGTACGAGCCCGCCTCCCCTGCAGCTGGCTTCTGGCGGGTCTGCTTGCTCGTTTCAGGAACCCAGATCTGCGAGCCCCGCTGGGAAACCCTGCCCCAGCCCAGGAACCCAGGCACACGTGCGGTTTGAGGGCAGCCTGCGCCCACTCTCCACCCACCAAGGCCCTGACGACGGCCTGGCCAGACCCCTCGTGTCCCTGTGAGCAACATGTGGGCCGCCCCGCCCCTCCCCGGCTGCCTGTGCTCCTGGCCCCAAGGACCTGGCACCCGAGAAGCCAGAAGTCCCCCGTTACCTCGGCCAAGTCCACAGGCGCCAGATGCTGCCTGTGGGGCCGGAAGACCTCACCCCTGGGGACCTGCCGGAGCTGCAGTGGGGCCTGCTTCTGGAGGGGGACCCGCCAGTGCAGCCTGAGCGGTTGACCAGGAGTCCCCAGGCCTTGGAGTAGAAGGGGCCACCTGGAGCCACCACCCACTTCCCACAGGCCACAGGAAGCCTTGACCCAGCCCCCTCCCTGGGCACCCAGACCACCTCCCTCCAGAAGTTTCTTGGGGGCCTGTCCAGACGTGAGCCCCAGACCGTGAGTCAGCCCAGGAGCTGGAGGCGGTGGGGCCAGCCCAGCCCTCCTCACCGGCACGTGGTCCTGGGCAGCATCCAGGCAGTTGTGGGCCCCTTCTGGCCCCATGGAGATGGCTTCCTAGAGGCTGTGGGTGGCCTCGGCCCAGAGCCCCAGCTGGCACTGCACTGCTGCCACGTTGAACAGCACCTGACAGGGAGGGGGCGGGTGGCAACAGGCTGGGACCTGCCCCACTCTAGTCCCATGCTGGGCCCCATTCCTGCTCCATGCCTGACCTCCCCGACCCCTGGCCTAGGCCCCACCCTGTGCTCTCCAGCCTCAGCAGCTGAGGCTTCTCCGGGTGCCCAGAAGATGCAGGGCCCGGTGGGCGCTGTGGGTAGCACTGGGTCAGATGCTGCTGCTTGCAGCTGTGCTCCGCAACCCTGTGCTCCTGGGCTCACAGTCAGAGGCCCGTAACCCATCTCTGGGAGTGCCCTCTGGGCTGCCTCACCCATCTGCACCCAGCCAGACCCCCTGGCGGCCCCCTCTTCTCTGTGCCTCCAGGGGTCCGAGGTGCCATGTGGGGAACCCCTCTCCATCCTCCCCCACCTCCCCCAATGCCAAAGGATGTTTTGATGGACAAGGGTTGGGTCAAGGCTGGGATATGCTGGGGGACAGAAGCCAAGTTGCACGGTGCCCTGGGAGGCGACCCTGCCCACTGACCTGCTAAACCACTGTGGGGCCTGCACACGTTCTTTCAGCCTGGCTTGGTGTCGGTGGGAAGAGCACCCGGCCCCTCCCCACAGCCCTAAGTCTCCAGGGCCTGCACCCAGAACCAGCTGGCCACCCTCTAGACCCTATTACAGGGCCTGGTGGGGGCCACGGCTGCACCAACACCCCGGGCCGTGCCCTGCATCGTTCACTGGCTGGGGTCCCAGGTGGCTTATGGATGCCCACCTGGAGGGACTTTCCACCTGAATTGTTTATTGCAACACCGGTTGTTCCCAGAGGCCTCCAAGGCAGTGTGTTTCCAGGAGTGTGGAGTACCGTGCTCCCAGGGCCCCTCCCTCTGGGCCGACACTGCCCCCGGTGCCCAGGAGGGGGACCAAGGGCAGAGCTGGGAGGAGACACCCCTGCCAGGGGCCCGCAGCCAAGCTGGGCTCCTACCCAGGCCCTCCTGTCCCTCTCCTACCCACCGGCTCTGACCCCCCCCCTCCTCCACTCCTGGCGTCCCCCACCCACTCTGTGGCCTAACCCCTCAAGGTGAGTGGCCGGTGGGGATGGCGGGGCACCTCTGGCCACAGGCAGCATTTCCGTCAGTGTGCCCCTGTGACACCGACAAGACGACAGGAGCTCAGGGCCTGCCAGAGGTGAGGACAGCTGGGGTGCTCACCTGGAGCAGCGCCCAGAGGCCCCGCAGGCCCTGCCTCTCAGAGGCCAGCTCCCCGTGTGAGCCCAGTGCAAGCTCACCTCCCAGGCCTGCAGCTTAAACGGCAGGCCCAGCTGCATGTAGTCGGTGGCAGGGCTACCCCTCAGCTGTGCCAGGGCCAGGCAGAAGACGGGCAGGGCCTCCTGGAGCCTGTAGGCAGCGAGGTTGCCTGGGGTGGAAGGCCCTCGGCTGCTGCAGCAGAAGGGGCCTAGCCCTGCCCCAGCCTTGTCCCCACCCTCAGCTCCAGGGACACCGCTGGGGGATAGTGGTGGCCACCACTCAGGTCTCAGCACATGGTCGGCACTCGAGTCCCGACAGACGAGTCAAGGGGTCGATACACAGACGTGGCTGTGCCGGGTGCCATGCTCCTGGTGTCAGGCGGTGCCCAGCTCTGATGCAGCTCTGCCCTCTGAGCATTTTGCTCCCCTGCTAGGGCCCCTGTCTGCTCCCAGAACCCTCTTCCCAACCAGCCCTGCATAGTGCCCTGGGCATTTCCCTCCTGCTTCTCAGGCCCTTGTGCCCTGAAGGCCTCCCCATGCAGAGACCTGCTGGGAGCTCCCTGGCCCCCACTGGAGCCCCAGCTCCCCCAGGCAGGCTCCTGGGCCAGTGAGAGGGGGAGGTGCCCCCCAGGGCCTGCCTGCCAGTGTGGGGCATTCTGTGGACCTTGTCCCTGAGGGCCAGGCAGTGGGGGAGAAGGCCAGGCCGTCCTGCGGCCCTGATTCCATCTTGGGAAAGGGCTGCAGCACAGATACCAGTAGGACCCCCAGCTCCTCTGTCCTGCATGCACGGCTCCACCAACCCTGCCCTCGGGTTCTGCCTCAGCAGAATGGACGTGATCACACCCTCCCTCTGCAGACAGACAGGATGAAGAGCAGAAAGGGGTGCCGGCTAAAGGTCTGTGAACTGCAGCGTAGAGACAGGGGTCACTGTGTCACTGCCCTGCAGCCCTGGAGGGGCGCCAGTGAGGGGGACGACTGGGGAGAGAGGGGAGGTGGGAGTGCAGGAACAGACCTGGCAGAGACAAAGGGCCGTCAGAGAGGGAACAGGCACCTCTGCGCTCACCTGTCCAGCTGGAAGTTGGCCACTCCCTGCTGAAAGAAGCCGACAGCCATGCAGGTGTCCTTTGTCACTGCTTGGTCAAATGCCTGGGGACAAAAATGCCTGTGGATCACCAAGGTCTGTAACCCTAACCCCCCTGTCCAGACACAGTCCAGGTGGATGACAAGTGATGGGGCCAAGGGTTGCATTAGCCCCTGTGACAGCCACCTGCAGGGGAAGGTCTCCTGCCCCCAGCCTGGGGCCCTTAGGGCATCACCCTCAGGGGCCTTCACCGCCTAAACCAGTCCAAGCTTCCAAGGGGCTTGGAGCCCAGCGAGGAAACACTCCAGTACAGTATAATGGTTACCTCTCCGGAGGGACTTATGCAAGATTTTTTTTTTAATCCTGTTTTTGGTAGTTCATACAAAATGACATAGTTCTCATCTATTAGAATCAGAAAGAACAAGTCAGTGTGTGTGTAAAGCATGATGTCCTTAAACCAGATGAAGACAGCAGCCATCTGCTAAACAGACAACAGGAAGGGTGTGACGGAAAAATCTGGCTGCGTGGGGGGCTTGTGGGCGAGCTGAGTGTGCCCTGCGGCTGAAGGTCCACAAGGGCACTGATGTGGGGGGCACTCCATACCAATGAAATGTTTGTCTGCCATCAGCCAAACCAAAGGTCACAGAGGTTCCCACAAACAGACCACAGTCCCGCTACACCCCTCCTTACCCTGTCCTGCTTCTCAGAGACAATTTTACTAATTGTAGTGATCCATCTGTTTTTAACACCTGCATATTTCCAACTAATGTGCCTGTGCTTCAATCTCTTAACTACCTATTGACTTTGGACAGTAAATGCTCCCTCTCTTCCTAGCAGAGTGGGGGATAACTTAACACTCACATGCCTCTGCCCACAGCTGTAGTCCCTCTCGATAAACAGCAGTGTATGAGTGGGTGATAACTGACTGCCCTCACACCTGTGATTGATTCACTGCTGAACCGCCTGGCATCCAGCGACTGGATTCCCTTTCTTTAATAACATTCTATAACTGGAATTGTTACTGAGAGTTGTAGATTTATGTGCAGATGTCAGAGTGACACAGGAGAGCCCTTGTGCACTGTGCCAGCTTCCCCTGGGGTGAAGTTTTGCAAGATTTGAATACATTCCCCTATAATAGCTAATTCTCCTTTCATTTACCTAGTTTTCCAGGTAGCTGTCACTGTCACCCGGACAGTTACAGAAACCTGGTTCTTCCTACTGGACAAGTTGGAGACCGGAGCAAAAGGCACCGTGCTGCTGGCTCTGCATCACGTGCCCATGGAACATGGCTAAAGGGCAAAGAGAGGGTCTGTGCTGCCCCCTGGGCAGAGCAGGTGTGAGTGTGCCCCTGTGCACACCAGCTCTTGGTTCTGTTTTGGGTAGCAGATCAGGAGACAGGTGAGCCCTCAGATCTGGGGTTTGGGCGTGAACTAGACCTTGTCTACTCTCACCGCAGGTGTCTGATGAAGCCCCAGCCCCAAACCCTGCACTCTGGGGGGCAGGCAAGCCCCTTCCCAGCTGGGTCCACCCGGAAGCCTGTTTCCTAGGTCTCCAGCACCTGAGCCAGCGTTTGCCCCAGGCTTTCCCCATGACTGTGGAGTCTAGCACATGGTCACCACACAGTGGAGGCAGTGAGAGAGCCCTGCATTCTCACCCGAGTCCGGACTCAGCCCCCCGGACCACCTGCCTTGGGTGTCTGTTGCGGCAGGTGACTGGGGAACATCCTCAGGAGGAAGGGCGGGTGTCCCCACCCCATGTACCGTCGGAAGGAAGGGCGGAGGCCCTGGGTCCACCCCTTCAGCCGGGTCTCTGTCGCACCTGTCACTGACCCGGCGCACAGTAAGTAAGGCCCCCTTGGGCCAGAGAACTGCCTCCCCCAGGGGTGGGTTTCCTGCGGTCAGATCTGGGGCACCTGGCTGGCTGCTCCCTCGCAGCGCAGCCTCACCTGCAGTGCGGCCTCCGAGTGCCCAGCCAGCAGGTGCACGCAGCCCATGTTGAAGCACCTCCCCATGTCCGAGAAGAAGCGCAGGGCGCAGCCCCAGTCCCCACGCGCCACAGCCTGCGCGCCGCGGTGCCAGTCGCGCACCAGGTCCCCGAGCGAGGCGGGCGGCGGCGGGGATCCCGTGAGGGGTCCGCTGGGGTGGCGCGAGGGGCCGAGGGGCGCAGGGCCGGAGCTGCAGGGGCCGGAGCTCCGCGTGGGCAGGTGGGGGCCCCTGAGGCTCGCGGGGGTCAGGGGCAGAGGGGTGGGCGCCCCTGCGGGGGTGTCCGCGAGCGCCAGGGGCGCCACGCCTCCTGCTGTCCGCAGCGTCCGGGGGGCCAGCGTGGCCCCGCCCAAGCCCAGCAGGCCCCGCCCCACACGCGGCTGTCCCCGCCCCTTTCCCGCTGCGGCCCCGCCCCCACGGACTTCCGCCGAAGCCTCCGCGCGGTGTCGCGCCCCAGCTCTCGCGGCGGCTCGGCCTCAGTGCGCCCGGGAAAGCAGGCCGGGCCTTCTGCCGACGCCGGGCCGGGTCCAGGTTCCGAGCGGACCCCGCCGGCTCAGGTGAGCGAGTCCCGGCGCTGACGGGGTCGCACGGGGGCCGGGCTGAAGGGCTGCGCGTTGGGCGGGCTCCGCAGCGCCCCTTTGTGGCCGAGGGGTGGCAGCGCGTGCGGGGCACAGGCCCGGGGGCAGCAGGGGCACAGCCGGGAGGCACGGCGGCAGGCCTGGGGGAGACCGAGGCCAGCGTGGGGGGCCCCGAGAACACCCGCCCGAGGCAGGCTGCCCCCAGAGACGAGGCGCGGCCGGGCCCTCCTGGCCCCCTGCACGAGTCCGTGGGCGTCCCGGGCGCCCTCCTCCGCCGTGGGAAACGAGCCTCCAGAGCCCGATGGCGGAGCGGGACCTGCCCTGGGCCCGGGGCCCCGTCAGCGCCCTGCCCCCCCCACCCCCCCGCAGCCTCACACGCGTCCCGCCTGACGCCGAGGCCCATGCCTCCTTCGCTGCCGCCTTCTCGGCGCCTGTATTAGGCAAGGTTCTCCAGGGAGACAGAACCGGCGCATGTACGGAGAGAGACTGTTTTCCAGGCGTTGGCTGACGCCATTGTGGGGCTGGCAGGTCCAGAATCTGCAGGGTGGGCCGCCTGCCGCGGGCCCAGGGAAGAACCTGGAGGCGGGCAGACGCCCCTCGCGCTGAAGGGAGCTGCCCTTTCTCTGGGACCTTGACTGACAGGATGAGCCCCACCTGCGTGGTGGAGGGTATCGGACTTCACTGCAAGCCTACCGTCCTAAACGTTAAATCTCATCTAAAATGTACTTTCACAGCGACATGTGACTATAACCAAATATTGTCCAGTTATCTGGGTCCCGTGCCCAGCCCAGCTGACACCTGAAATGGACCATCACAGCACCCAATCCAGAAAAGCTCCCGTAGATGGTCTCTGGGACTTTACCTACGGCAGGAGAACATGCCGGCCTAGAGGTGGGTGGGTGCCCCGTATCATGGAATTCGCTTTTAAGGTGCGCAAGTCAGTGTGTGTCAAATGCAGAAATGTAGCGTGCAGTCGTCCCTAGTTCCTCGCCGCCCCAGCCCCTGGCACCACTCACCTGGTGCCAGTGTATGGGCTTGACACTCCCGGATGTTTTGTATAGACAACCATACAACATGTGCCCTTGGGGTGGCCTCCTTCCTCAGCATGATGTTCCCAAGGTCCATCCCTGGTCGCCTGTGGGTGCTTCGCTCCTTTTTAAGGCTGAGTGGTGCACGGGCCATGCTGATCTTTCAGTCCCCAGTTGACAGGTTTCTGGGTGTTTCCTCTTTTTGGTCACAATGAATAGAGCTGTTGTGAACATTCGTGTGTACAGTTTTGGGTGGATGTGTGTCTTCAGTTCTCTTGGGTGACACCTGGGGGTGGGGGGTGGGGCTGCTGGGTCACGTGTCACTCTGTTCAACTTTTTTTTTTACTGTTTTCCAAGCAGCCATACCATTTTGCATCCCCATAATGCTGTTCACTCTTAAGTCACTTCAGACAGCCTTTCCTGCCATCACTCCACTCAAACGCCTGTCTGCGTCACCATTGACTTCCTTGTGGCTGAGCCCAGTGGTAACGCTGGGTGTGGCCCGTGCCCCCCTAGGTGCCTGGCCCCCAGAACATGACCTCTTGGTGTTCTCTGCCCCCAGCTGCCCCCTTTGCTTCCCTGGGCTTGTCCCACTGTTGGAATTACCATCTGGGTGTCTACTGTGCTCATTATTTCATCAACTTTTCTATTTTTGCAATAAAAAAATGAGAAAGGTGCCAAGGAATTTTTGTTGCAGCTGTATTCATACTAGCCAAAAACTGGAACAGCCAGGTGTGCTTCAGTGGGATAGCGGTTTACAGACTGCACCCACACCAAGGACGGCGGCTCACCGGTGAAAGGGATGAACGCATGGCAGGTGTTGTGGGGTCTGCTAAGTGAGGAAAGGCCACGTAGTTTAGGAGCCCACTTATATAATGTTCCAAAGGTCTGGAAATGAGAGGTTGTATAGAGAGAGATTGGTGGTCGCCTGGGGTCACTAACAGATCGATGATTTGAGGGCCCATAAAAGGGCAGCCCGAGGCCCCTGTGACGGACTGAGTCAGCGTCAGCATTCTGGCTGCAGTTTTAATTTCAGTGTTCAAGATGTTACCATCTCAAAAACTGGGGGAATGGTATATGGGATGTCTGTTATTTTTTACAAGTGCATGTGTATGTTGTAGATAATATAATTATCCCAAAATGTTTTTAAAAATTTAGGAAGATTTCAATTACAGGTTCTTTCAGCTCTAAAACATTAATTTCAGTGTTGTTTAGGAAAACGTTTGTGTATTTGAGCTAAAGTCTGTTCCCAAGTAGAGGCGAAGCCTAAGGAGGAACAAGAGAGAAGTGAAAGATCGCTTTGCAGTGGGAACGAGGTCGGCAGTGTCCGCACCGCCAGCGCAGCAATGCAGTCTACAGACGGAGGAGAGGAAACAGGAGATTGGAGGAGGCCATGCGCAGCCGAGAACAAGCAGGTTGGGGAAGTTGAGTCAAGCGGGACCTGCGGGCAGCGTGCAGCCCTGCACAGGTGACCTCGCACCCCTGCAAGTGCACTATCTGGTACCTGGGTGCCCAGCCCAGTTGAGCCTTGAGATGATGCAGCCCCTGCCTAGGCCTGGCCGCAACCCCCAGAGACCCTAAGCTGGGACCCCTGCCCCTGGCTCCAGTGCAGCCTGGCACCTGGGTTAAAGGGTCCCCCAAAAGCCCTCTCCTGGGGAGGCCCCGGAGGTCAAGACTCAGGGGGCGCCGGTCCCTCTTTGAGCCGCAGGGAGAAACTTGGTGCAGGACTGATGCCGACACAGCCGGCTTTAATGTCCTGCAGCACGCGTGTGCCTGGAAAACCACCCCCACCCAGCCCAGAGACAGCAACGTGTGCTTCCCATGGCCACGGCAGAGAAGCAGACACCAGCAGTGGGCATGTATGCCCCCTCAGCGGCTGGCAAGGGTGTGAACTTGGGGCCCGGGCGCCGTGGGGCCTCTGTGCAGAGCAGTCTGGCGTCTCCCTGCAAGCTGCAGTCACAGCTCGGCCAGCGGCCCTGCTCCTGGTGGGTGCCCAAGGCATGACCACGCCTGGCCGTGAGGCTCACAGCAGCCAGAGGGGGGAAGGACGCAAAAGCTCACTGACGCCGGGCCACGGAATGCCACTCAGCCCTGGAAAGTACTAAGGACCGTGGCTGCTGCACAGGGGAGGAATCTCAAGAGCGCGAAGTGAAGGAGGCCAGACGTCCTCTGACTCCATTTATGTGAGTGTCCACAACAGGCAAATACCGAGAGAGACAGAAAGTGGACTCCCGGTTGCCAACAGCTGGGAAATGCGGGGTAGCTGCTAGTGGGCACGGGGTTAATCTTTCTGGGGTGATGAAAACGCTCTGGAAGCAGGTGGTGGCAGTGGCCGCACACACGTGGACACACCGAGCCAGTGAGCCACCCGGTGTAGAAGAGCACAGTTCGTGGCGCGCGCATCACATCTCAGTAAAGCTAAAAAGACCCACTGAGATGTGTGTAAATATTTAATTCAGTTTGAAAACCAATTCAAACAGCCTCCAAGTTAATGTCGTTGTTTATCCGAAGAGACCCTGTTTGCAGGGATCCATTCTGTGCACCCATGTCCCTGGGCGTCTTGGACAGCTCTGGGCTGGCGACCCATCTCCACCTGAATTTGGGGTTTGGGGACAGGAGGGTGAACTTAACCCGGCGCCGTGTGAGGAGCACGGGCTGTCTGAGCATCCCACCCCATCTCCGGCTGCCGGGCCCCCAGGTGGGAGCAGCAGGCGCCTCGGCCTCTTCCTCTGCTTGGCTGGTTTTCCCAGCACCAGCGTGTCCGGCAGAGCTGTGTGAACCACACGTGTAATTTTGAATATTCTAGTAGGCACACTAAAAATAGAAAAACAAACAGGTGAGATGAACAATATATTCTGTTTAACCTCCGTATGCCCCAAACATTACCACTCCTACATGTGATCGATACGAAAAAGCAGTTCTGAGGCGCCTCATGCTGTCATTACCCTGTGTACGCTTTCCGTGCGCTGCAGAGTGTGGCCGTCCCATCTTGTGGGGGGACCGGGCATCACAGGAGGGCGCAGGCCTTGAGAGCCTCCCCATGGGGCGACAGCTTCTGGGACTCCAGGACTGGCACTGACTGTTCCACTGCACTCCCGCTGCGTGTCGTGTGGGTTACAAGGGCGGCCGAAGCATGGACGGCCCTGGTGAGGAATCACACTCCCAGAAGGGCTCCTGATGCACGCTCTCCAGCCTCCAGCCACCTGCTGTGCAGCCCCACCTGCCCCCAAGATGTAGGGCACAGGGGCTGCCTGGATAGCGGACATGAAGCTGGTGCCCCCATATTTCTGGAATAAAAAAGCAAAATGGCAAAGAAAGTGTGAGTTGGTGTCCAAACAGGCCACTTCTGTCACTGCAGTGTGGAGAAAACACCGTGTTCTGAGGCCACAGGATGGCCCCCAGACTCATTCTCCTGGGATGGACAGAAGGCTGAAGCCCAGGCCTCATGGTGGCTGCATTTGACCCTCAGCCAGCAATGTGGCTTCTTGTAGGGTCCTTTAATCTCTGCCTTTCCAGGTTATCTGAAAAGCAGCTTTGGGACGGGAGATGTCTTGAAGCATCTGCTCCGAGCTGCCCTCCCCCAGCCGTGAGCCGTGTCCCCTGGGCCACTGGCGCAGTCCCAGGCGCCGTGGCTGTGTCCTCTCGCATCCAGAGCCTCTGTGAGGAGGGACCACCGACCTGAGCAGCGTGCCGCCTAGCCCCTCCTGAGCCCGCGGAGCCCCTGGACTGTGCTTCCTTCCCTGGCAGCGAGGGGCCAGGGGGCTGGGGCCGGGGAGACATCCATGAGCACATGCTTGGTGCTCCCCAGGCCGCCACCTACCCCAGGCCGCCCGCTTCACGGACTGGGTCGGGCCTCACGCGGACTCTGTGGGACCCTGGGGGTTCTGCGGGAGTGACCCAGCTGAGGCGTCCTCCTTCCCCCATCTGGCCTGCTGGGTCCCTTCAGGGCCTGACTGTGGGGGCTCTGGAGGGGCCCGTGCTCAGAGCCCAGGCCCTCTGGCCTTGGGGCTGGCTCGGTGGGTGTGTCCAGCAGACAGCCTGGTGGGCCTGGGTCTGGTACGTCCAGAGCCCTGGGGCACCCAAGAGCCTGTAGATGCTGGGCCTGGCCTGTGTCAACCTTGCATATAGAAGAGCTGGTTATTTTACTAGCAGAACAGGAGGAACTAGAACCTGGGACATACCAACTGGCAGAACCCCAGGCAAGTCCAGAGAACGCAGGACGGTGTCACTTTATAGAGAAAGGGGGAGTTGGAAGGAAAGCCCACTCACTGGAGGGAAGTGGGGGTTCCGGGTGGTGACTGTTTCTCCAGGGCTGAGTGGCAGGGCAGGGAAGACCTTCCTCCTGCTGAGCTCAGAAGGCATGTGGACTGGCGAGGCGCGTCCCTTCCCGGCAGGTCTGGCCCTGATGAGCACTAGTGCACGAGAGCGCCCCCTGCTGGCCTCCCGACTCAATTTAAATGAGGTTTCCTCTACTCAGTTTTGCACCTGCCTGGGTCTGACTCGGCCAGGCTGGCTCCCAGGTAGGTTCCCAGCCAGGCTTCCAGGTTGGCCCCAGTGAGGTTCTCAGGTAGGCATCCAGATGGGCTCCCCTGGGCCTGCCCTTAGGTGGCCTGGCCTGCACGGTGTCTCTCTGGAGGGTGCCCAGCACCCTTCCCAGGGGTCCGAGGCTGCGACTCCGCTGGCGGGTTTGCCACCGGGCCGGGAACCAGGCATGAAGCGGGGGCAGGAAGCAGGAGCCTCTGGGTGAGCGCGTGGCATGCTGCAGAGCTCCCAGCGTGAACTTGGCTCGGGCTGGCCGCCTTTCAGGAAAAATCCGGATGCTCAAATGAGTTGCGCTTTCTGACTAGCTGTCCATTTTAGATGGACGTTCCTGTGGGGGTGCCCCCCCAGCGGGCCACGACAGGGACGGCCTGCTGGCCTCCGCGTGGGCTACAGACCCATCAGTACACTGGCAGCGCAAGGCCCTCTGGGCTCCAGGCAGGTCTCTTTCATTTTAAAATGAGGTCAACTTAAAAAGTCCGCTGTGGGGTAAAGCTGGACTTGGTCTTTGCCCTGTCTCCATTTTCAGAAGTGCAGGGTACTGGGCGTCCGGACGCATTTCACCAGGCGCAGGTCGCAGGCTGGGAATGGAACCGAGGTTGCGGAACGAGAGCTGAGCCGAGTGTCCGTGGCCTCCGAGTTTCCCGTGTAGGGTCTGGGCCTGTCCGCTGACAAGAACACAGCCCGCCTCCCACTCTGGCTGCCAGGCTCCTTGGGAAGGGGGGATGGTGGCCCTGGCAGAGGGAGGTGGAAGTCGGCCTGCGGCAAATGTTGGAACTATAGGGGTTTCTCCCCTAATCGACAGGATTAGAAAAAGGCCCCCTCCCTCAAGAGCCATTCGGCCGCCTGCCCCCTTCCTGGGCTGACTAGCCACAACGGAAAGGTCATCAAGGTCACGGCAGTTTGTCCTCAGCTCAGGAACAGCACCCGACCCTGGGCCCCTGTGGAGAGGGCCTGAGCACGGGCCGGTGGGGCCCACCTGGACCTGAGCGCTGCCGGGCGGGCCTTCCTCCGGAGCAGCAGGACCCCCGCCCCGTGCTGATGCCGGTTTCTATCAGTGTTCATCGGCTTGGGCCACCATCCTCTGCCAGACAGTGGGAGACCGGGAAGGCCTGCAGGCCACAGAAAGGAGGGGGAGGCTGCTGACCGTGGGGCAGCCGGCGGCCTGGCTGTGCTGGGAGGCGTGCCTCCACCCGAGCCGGGCAGAAAGGAGGGCTGGAGGTGTGGCATGGCTGCCAGTCCACCGTCTTCCCTTGAGCCCTTTTAGAAGCCCCTCGGGGTTGCCCTGGGGTCGTAGGGCAGCATGGGGCATGTCTCCCTACTGACCTGCCCAGGAGGAAGAGCCACCATTTGGAGCTTATTTAAACCAAACCCCAGGGAGACCCCCTGGCCCGCGCTTCCCCACCCTGTCCCTGTGTCCAGGGGAGGCAGGCCCCACAATGCACCTGCCTGTGGCCTCTGCCCACCCCAGCCAGAAGTATGCTACCCAAGGGGTGGGTGAGTGGGTGGTGGTGGAAGGACACAGCCTAAGGGACCATTCTGGACACCTGCTGCATGAGCTGTGAAGTGCCAGGGGCTCTGGAAGCGTCCGACGGCGGTGTGGACCCAGTGGGCGGAGCCAGGCCAGGACTCAGCCTTGCCTGGGTGAGGCGTGTCTTTTGGGGTGGGGTGGGGGGTGGGCAGGCTGGCTGGTCACAGTGAGGACAGGCATCTCTTGGAGAGGGACCCAGGGACCTGGAGCTTCCCCTGTTGGACACCTGGGCAGGAGGGGGCTCCATGTCTCAGCGGCCGCTGGAGTCAGACCGCCCCCTCCGTGTCACGCGCTGCGCCCAGGAATGCGCCACAGTAAACGCACAGACAGGTGGACCCGCCAGAGGTGGAGACGCAGGCGCCAAGCCTCAGAGGCTGTGTGGGACACGGCGGCCCCTCTGCTGCGCTCAGAGCAAGTGGACTGACAAGGAGGGCCCCCCACTCTGTGCACCTCCCCGACGGAAGCCCTGGCGACAGGAGAACTGTGGACCCGGCGGCCTTGGGGAGAAGCGCCCAGAGCCCCAGCAGAGGGGTCGCCCCCGGCTTCCCCGCAGGAGAGGCCAGCAACCCAGGGAGCATCCGCCCGCGGCCCAGGCCTGTGCATCCCCCACCGGCCTGTTGGCAGGCGCGGGGTGGCGCAGGGTGCCCGGGCCCCCGAGAAGGACGTGTCTTAGCCTCAGAGACCCCAAGGCCAGCAGTGGTGGCGCTCGCACGTCGGCTTTGGTTGGGGTGGTGGGAGGGAGGCATCGGCAGCAGGTTCCCCCTGAGGGGGTTGGGAGCAGGGTTGCCTGGGGTGGGGTGGTGGCTTTGGGCTTGGCACCCCGGCCTGCCCGGGAGCAGCTGGTCTCCCCACTAGCCACTGTACTGGATGTTTATCAGGGGCCTGAGTGACTGTAATGTGATGTAAAAAAACGCCTGCTGCTGGAACAAGATTTGGGGGGAGGCTGGCATGAGAGAAACTATGATTTTGGCTACTTCGAAGTGGGGGCTGCGCCTAAAGTAGCTCCTTTCTGCCAAGAATTCCTCCATTTATTGAATTAGAAAGCAGAAGGATCTACTATCAGGAGCTGGGGGGCCCTGGGGCGCCGGGTGGCACCTGCAGAGGCTGCAGCTGCAGGCGGGTCTGCCACCAGCACCGGAGGAGGAGGGGGCGCCGCACAGTCCGAGCGCAAAGACACAGACGGACACGCAGAGGGACTGGCCGACCAGAAGGTGAACATGAAGTGACTGTGGCTTTTGAGAACTTTCTTTGGCATTAGTTTTCCAATATTCTACCGTATCTGGTGGGACTCAACCACTCAAAAGTGTCCCCCTGCAGATTTGATTTGGAATTTAGATTTAGGGAGGGCAGGTCTAAAGTGGGGCCCACTCTAGCCACCGTCCTAAGGCGTGGCCTTTCTGGAGCCTGGGCTGGGGCCCAGTGCCAGCAGCGTGCTTGACCAATAGTGTCTCTGCTGCAGCTGCCCCTCAGGGCCTCGGAGGCCCTGTACTGCTCGCTTGCGCTCTGGCATACCCTAAACAGCCCCTCCTTCCAACCCTGTCACACAGGGGCACCTGCCTCTTCCTCTGTGTGGCGGGAGGCTGGGAGAGCACTCTTGGAAGCTGTCCACCCGGAGGCCCACGCTGGACCTTGTCAGGAAGCGCGTGGCATTGCCCGTGGCTCAGCAATCAACTGCCTAAAATGTGTTGTCTGTTTGATGTTTGCAGTGGGAGGGCTGGCCTGGCACCAGTCACTCCCCACGGCCGGAGCAGAGGTCCGCAGTAAATTGTCCACGAATGGGAAGGCCACCACAGTCCACCTGCAGTGCAGCTGTGAATAAATAGCATTTACACTGTTGTGCTCATGTTTTCTGCAAGTAATGAGTCAATGGAAGATGCTCACAGAACTGTTTTAGGAGGTTGTGGGGTGTGGGGGGGGCCAGGAATATGACAGTTAGCTCTTCCCTTGAGGCTGGTCCTCACATGAAGACCGAAAACCCAGGAAATACCCGTATTGGTGTATTATTTGGAAATATGAATGCAAATATTCAAAAGAACAGCTTAAAGAGCTCCTGAAAGAGGGGTCTCTGGGGGTCGCTGAAGGTGAGGAGCCCGTGCTAGGATCTGGGATTCGCGTGGCAGGCTGTATGTGTATCACCGTGAAACCGATGAAAAACTGTCTGCAAGAAGAAAGTATGGCAGGCCTCGTGTAAATAGATGAAAAGAAGAACCAGGATAATCTCCATAAAGTAGAAAAGCATCTTGTATAAAATACAGTTACAGGAAGCCTACTGACCGCCTGGGAAGAGGAACAGGTCACTGCCAGCCTGGGTTATTTAGAGCTGTGTGTGCCCGTGAGGGTGGCTCATGAGCCCTCACAGGGGACCCCTCCAAGGCCAGTGCCGAGCGCTCCTGGGTCTGGTGGGGGCTCTGAGGCCGCCTGGGCCCCTCACACCTCTGAAACCAGTGGTGGGCCCTGCGTGGGCTGCCCCCCGGGGTCTGTCTCCTCTGTGGAGCCCACAGCCTCACTGCCTCTCCACTAGCGCCTCACTCGAGCTGCCTGCCGACCTTCCCCCAGCCCTGGCTGAGAATGGACCCGGGAGACCCTTCTGGAGACCCAGTTGGTGATGCCGCTGGTACCCCTGCTGATGGTGAGTGCCGTTCCATGGGTGAGTCTGTGCCCCTCGCGGCCCGAGTCCAGCTGGGCCACATTTGACCAGAGCAGGTCTGTGGTGCAATGAGGAGGGCCTGTGTGCAGGCCCACAGGTGGAGTGGGTGGGGATGTGTGCAGGGCCATGGATGGATGGGTGAGCGTGTGCTGGGCTCTCTGAGCACGGGCCACAGATGCTGCACTAGACAGGGACCCCATGCAGGAGGTGTCTGGAGCCACAGCTTCAGGGTGGGATGCACCAGCCCTCGGGGTACAGGCAGCCTGGCCTCAATGCCTCAAGGGCTGCCTGCTGGCCACGTGCTTGGTGACTGGCAGGGAGGACTGACTGGGACTGGATGGGCAGTTCAGGGAAGGTGGTGCCCGTGGGTACAGAGGCCATCTTCAGGTCCCCAGGCAGGACATCCCCCTCAGGGTGGCATCTGATCACCCATGCCTGTCCCAGGCCCCATCACGTGTGGGGTGTGGTCAGTCCTGACAACACACCCAGGCCTCTGCCTGAGTATGGGCAGAGGGGGCCCCAGGGCTTTCCAGGCCTGGCCCTTGCCGCAGGGTAGGTCACTGTCACTTCATTCGCTCTCTGCTTTCCTGGAATAGGGGTGCGCTGCAGAAGGCCCCCACAGTCACCCCAGATGAGCAGACCCTGTCCCTTGGCCTGCTGGGGACCCAGCTCTGCTGACCAGGCCAGCCTTAGGAAGGCCTCTGAGACCTCAGCCAGGGAGGCCTCCTCGGTGGGCTTCACACCAGGGTCTGGGTAGCACCCCCAGGGTCTTCTGGCCCCTTTGCTTTTGCCGCTGAGCTGGACCCTCTTGGTCTGTGGCTCTGGCACGACGACACCCCCAAGAGCCGCGGGCGTCAGCTTTCCCTGAGCTGTGTTGGAGTTTGGAGGGGCGCTGAGGAGCATCTTCCCAGCCTCTGCCAGCCTGTCCTGCTGCTGGTGAGCAGCAAGAACGAGCTTCTCCCGCCTCCCGTCTCACCCTCCCCTCCCCCAGGACCAGCGGAACCATCAGCCCGGCTCCGAGACCGTTTCCCTCCTAAAAATGTGGCCTTTGCTTGAGCACACATAGCTGGACTCCGGATTCTCAGGCAGTGCTGGACTTCCCTTCCTTGGGAAGGTCAGAAGTCTGGTGGAGTACGGTCATTTCTCAGCCTGGAGTTGGGGGGCAGGTGCAGCAGCTCCAGGAAGATCCATCTCTTCCCCTCCCTGTGGGCCTGCACCCCAGGCAGTGACCCCCGGAGGCTTCCTGGAGCCAGGCCCTTGCTGGGCAGAGCAGCGCTGCAAGGTGGCCCCTCCATGCCAGGTGTCAGGGTGGCCCCAGGGGACAGCAGCATGGGAGCCACGCGGCCCCTCCCACCAAGGCAGGAGTCCCCGCCATGACTCGCATGGACACGGCTGTGGTGGGCGGCTCCTGCACCAGGCAGGAGACTGTGGCCTCTCAGAAACAGGCCTTGGGGAGGCGCTGCCAGGTGTGCAGACCAGACCAGGGCACCTGCTGCGGCAATCCCCCAGGTCGGAGGCCCAGGAGGGGTCCCCCGCTCTGCTCACTGGGGGTTCTGCCTGCCAGCAGCTGCCCGGAGTGGACAGAGTCAGGACAGCCACTCCTGGACTGATGGAGGCGGCCTTGCCGTGAGTTAGCCAAGGGCTCCAGCCCACCCCGTGGAGAGGGCAGCCTGGGCTCGGCGCACCTGGCACCACCTTCAGGTGGGCAGGCGGGGGTCGGGGCATCTGGCAGAGCCTCTGCAGATCAGGCCCGAGAGCAGCCAGGGTCACGTGAGGGGGCCGAGGGCGGGGAGGCCCCAGCTGTGGGTGGCTCCATGGCGACCAGGTGCCGCAGGCTTCCTGCGGGGAGGCTGGGTGTCCCCCGCCCACTGACCAGGCCCAGCCCATTGTCTCCCACTCCGCTGATAAAAGCACCCGTTCTGTTTAGTTCTCACCACCAGCCTTATGATAGAAAATAACAGGGAGTCATAGTAGAAGTTAACTTGGCAGCTGGAGTTTTTTTCTAGAATACACCTGTTTCCTAAATTGATGTTGCCTGAGGTGGCTCAGTGGGGTTTTGGATGAAGTGGTGTCTGTCTGTCCTGCCTTCCCTGTCCCTGCCTGGCTATCTCAGGAGCGCCCCTGAAGGCAGCCAGCGACTCTCTGTGTCCTGTGGGCACTGTGAGAGCGAGCACAGAGGGGCGGGCCCCCCACCGCCCCTGCCAAGCCCCTGGCTGACCCCTCCCATCCCTGGGGCGCCCCTGAGTGCATGTGGGGAGGGCCCTTCAGGGAGGGAGAAGGCCCAGGGCGCAGACGGGCTGGATTGTTGAGTTTGAGCTTCTTTTCAGCATTCCTGACATGCAGCTGCCCACCCCGCCCCCACCCTCTTGCTCCTGGGGGCAGCAGGGTCAGGGGCCAGTCGCAGGCCAGCGGCCATCTGTCCTGCCGTCCCTGACCTGCCATCCGGCCTCGACCAGCGAGTCCCCCTGTCAGGGCTGCATTCGCTGTGAACTTGTGCCAGGCCCAGTGCTAGGCCTGGCAGGGAGGTGGAGGCCATGGCCAGGCTGCAAGGCGCGCTGGTGCCTATCTGTGCACGGAAGACCCCGTGCCCTCCCTGCTGGGCCCTGGCCGCGCAGGGGCCCTCGGCCGCTCCTCCACCAGGGCAGACAGAGCTCCTGCCTGTCTGTCTGGGCGAGCGGGTGGGACCAGGCTGCGGAGCTGCGAGCCAGGAGACTGGCCTGGGCCCCTCTTGTCGGAGTTTGCTCAGCCCAGGCTAGGCGTGCCTGTGGGCGCAGGTGGGAAGCTGGGTGGCCCCAGGTGGGGGCCGTGGCTGGTCGAGCCCGAGGGCGTCTCCTGCGTGGGTCCTTCAGATTGTCAGGGGTCCTCTGTGCAGTGTGCCCTTGAGGAGACCTCCCCTAAAGTCATCAGGGTCTTCCCAGGTTTCCTTCCAGGGCCCTACTGTCTGTTTCCCACCTTTGGAACTGCCATCAGGGAGGGTGTTTGATAGGTGCGAGGAGGAGTCCGCAGGTGCCACGGGAGCCCGGCTACTCCATAGGTCTTTACTGGGTCAGTGCTGGCCTCCTGGGCTGGCCCTGCCTGGCCGTAATTGCTGGGGTGACTCCCATGGCCCCAGCCTCGGCCGGGCGGTCCCGCCGTGCTCCTGTGTGCAGCAGAGGCGTTGCTGGGACAGGCGGAGGCGCGGGTACACCCACTGGGCCGCGCTGGTGCCCGCGCACGCTGCTGTTTATGTTGGAGTGTGGCATCTCCTGATTCCTTCTGGGTGATCTGACACCTTTACGTTACTGGTTGTATGATATAGCCTTTCCTTAATCAGGGCTTTTAATTTTTTTCTCGATGTTCTTTGGGATTTTTTACATGAACTTTTTATGTTAAAATTATCCCAGGAAATTTGAAATGTCTTATGCTGTTGACACTATTGAAACTGATTTTGTAACTGTTGGTTTCTGCTTGTTGCCATTTTATAGGGAAATGGCTGGTTTTAATTTTGGCCTCGTGTTGAGCAGTCAGGCTAACATACACTCATAGGTCAACTTTAATAACTTGTCTTCAGATTCTTTATGGCTTTCTACAAAATTAATCATTTTTTTCAGTGAGTAATGATTTTATTTTTATTTTTTAAAGACTTTCGTTTTTTCCAGGGCAGTTTTAGGTTTACAGCAAAATTAAGAAGGCGCAGAAATCTCACATATGCCCCCTGCCCCTCCGCACACGCAGCCTCCCCGACCAGACGGTGCATCCGTTCCTTTCGCTTGACCCACGTGGACATGGCATCATCACCCAAAGTCCGCGCTTTCCCTTTGGGTCACACTTGGCATTGCACATCCTAGGGGTTTGGAAGTGCAGCGCCCCTGCAGTGTCACAGTCATCTCCCTGCTGCAGGCCCTCTGTTCCCCACCTCTTCGTTCCTCCCCCAGCCCCTGGCACCCGCTAATCCTTTTACTGTCTCCAGTTCTGCCTTTTCTGGAATGCCGTAGAGTTGGGACCATACTGTCCGTGGCCTTCTCACGTGGGTGTCTCTACCTTTGCAATGTGCAGTTAAGGTTCCCCATGTCTTTTCATGCCTTGATAGCTTATTTCTTTTTAGCACTGAATATACTCTGTTTATAGATGTACCAGAGTCTGTCAGAGCAAAGCTTCTTTTTTATTCCTTCCCAAGTGTTATGCCTTTAATTTTCCTTTTTGCTGCACTGTGCAGGGACCTCCAGGGCGTGTTGAAAGGGAAGCTCCTGAGGCTCCATCTCAGCGGGAGAACTTTCAGCATTAAGTCCTGTGCTTACCGAGGACTTTTATAGACACCTGGTACCTGGTTAAGGAAGTTTCCTCCACTCTGATTGCTGAATTATTTCTTGAATCATGAACAGAATTTGCTCTTATGAAATGCCTGTTCTGCACCTACCGAAAGGGTGTTGTGATTTTTCTCCTCTATGCCATTCATGAGCCGTGCGGGTACACAATGGGGAGGGCAAGGGGCGGGGGACCGGGCTCGGTCTACCTGCTTCCTGGACAGGACATGGTGTGGCACCTCCTGCGTCCTGCATGGGCAAGTCTGACTGCCGTGTGTTGTCTGGTTCCTGTCCCCCACCTTTCCCTTCAAGTCCTGTCTCCCCAAGGAGCCGCTGCCCCCTCGATTCCTGGGTAGATTTGCTAATGCAGTTACCGGAGCCCCGGAGCCCCCTGACTTGACGTGGGGAGCGTGTTAGACCTCTGCCCCCGCGGGGTGTGGGCTCACGGCCAGGACCTGACCCTGACCTCCGGTGCCTGACCCCAACCCCCACCACATGAGGGCATGACCCCTGAGCCCCACCGTGTGAAGGGCATGGCCAGGGTCCTCTGTAAGTGCTGGGGGCTTCTCCCATCTCCCTGGCTGAGGCCCAGTCACCTTAGCTGCCTTCCCTCATGTCCTCCCAGGCTCTGAGCCGCGGCCCCTGGCGGTTCTTGACAAAAGGACAAGCAGCTTACTCCGTGTTGCCTCTGGGCCTGGGACCTGTCCTGTTCCGCAGGGCTGGGAAGGCTCCCAGCCGGACAGCGCCTGGGTCGGCCTCCCCGGGCTGGGCTGTGGGCAGTGGGGCGGGGGCAGGGGGGCGAGGTGCCTGTGAGGGTGGGGGGGCCACTGAGGGGCAGTGGGAAGCCAGGGCCGGCTGTGCCGGAGCTCTGCCTGGGCGGAGGCAGGTGGGGGAGGCAGGCCGTCCAAGGTGGCCAGGGGTGCTGGCGGCTGTGGGCGACCCCCAGGCTGGGTTCCCTGCCCTCGGGAGGGGCTCTCTTCCCCCAAACGACAGCAAGCAGCAGTGACCTCTCGGGCCGGCCCACCTCCTTGGCATTGACCTTGCCTGCTCTGCAGGGGGTGTGGGGTGTGGGGAGCAGTAAAGGGTCAGGGCTTGTGGGTGGGGGCTCTTGGAGCAGTGGCCCCAGCCGGCCATCGTGGGGAAAGCTGGGGAGCAGCCAGCCTGTGGGGGCAGGACAGGGGCCAGGACGGAGGCCGGGGACAGGGGAGGCAGGGCTGGGGCCACATGGGGGCCTCAGGAGGTGCCAGAGGCCAGACGTGGTGGGCAAGGGTGAGGGTGGGCTGTGAGGAGACACCAGCCGGGTGTTGTGTCCTGTGGGTGTGCTCTTGCAGGTTGGCTGACCCGGGCAGGCCTGGCTGTCTGATGCCCCCACCCTACTCGCAGCGGGGCCACTCTGAGACCCTTGGCCCACCGCGGCCAAAATGTGAGGCCAGGGCTCCCCACTGAGCTGTGGGTGGAAGCCCACCCCAGTGAGCACCGTAGGGCGGGCCCAGCCCCACTGGATGGCAGGGCCACGGGTCCTGGGAAGGGGCGGTGGGGCGCTCTGGCCAGAGAGTGAAGGAGAGGCCATGGGGAGCCCTGGGGGTTGGCTGAGGAGGGGTCAGTGGTCTCTGCAGGGGCCCCAACCCACAACAGAGTCCCTGCCGTGGCCCTTGTCCCCCCAGGCCAGGACCCACTCCTGTTCCTGCAGGCCCTGAGGACGCTGTGGTCCACGCGGGAGCGGCAGCAGGTGAGTGTGGGAGGCTGTGGGCGCCCGCTGGCCGTGGGGAGTGTGCTGGCCGACACGTCGGGTGGAGCCCCAGGGCACCCCTGGGCCTGCTTGGTGCTGAGGCTCAGAGTGGGGGGGCAGGGTCTGCAGTCACCACCCCGATTCTGTGGAGCACAGGGGATCTGGCAGCAGGCCGTGCCCACTGGCCTCTACTACAAGGTTGGCATGACAGCCTTTCTGGGCACTGGGGGCGTGTGAGGTCCAGCAGGAGGAGGCAGCTGTGGCTGGGAGGCTGCCTGGTCTGGTCTCCCATGGCTTGGGGGCCCTGCGGTGGCAGCTGCCGCCTCCAGAACGTGCCCCACTACGGCCTGTGCTGGGGGGCGGCTTTGCCTCAGCCCCGGGGGTGGAGCACCGCCTGACCTCAGCCTCTCCTGCCCTGCACTTACTCCTGGGGGGACACAGAAGCCACTGCTGCCCAGACCACAGGGCCCACAAGTGACTGGAGGGACAAGGCCCCTTCCTCTGGTGCCAGCCGAGGGTGGGCAGAGTGCCCAGACCTGGGGCAAGCTTGTTGGGGCAGGAGTCCAGAGCAGGGCCTCGGACTGTGCAGACGGAGTGTCTGAGCCCGGGAGGTGGGCGCGCACCGCCAGGCTGCCCACACATCTGGACTGTGCAGCGAGTGAGCAGCCAGACCCAGCCGTCTCTTGGAGAAATCCCAAGTTTTTGCAAAACCCAAAAACTTTAGTTTCTGTCCACCATGGCTTTGAGGTTAGGACCACACGACCATGGCAAATTGCATTAACAGGTCTAACATCAGCGGTCCTCGCGGGTCTTTGATGTGCCTGGCCGGGTCGCTGTGCGTGTGGTTTCCGTGAGGTTTTGTGTCTGCTGTCTGTCCCCCATGTCCAGGTGAACCTACCCCACGAATCGGGGGTGGGAGCGTCCCTCCTTCCCTGTTCTCTAGAAAGTCCATTGAAGACAGGAATTACTTGCCTCTTGAGGGTCTGCAGGAGCGCAGTTACCACCCCACAAACTCCAGTCAAAGACCCCGTTCCCCTAATGGTGCCCATTTGGGGTTCCCGCTTCTGGGAAGGCTCCGTTTCGTGGGCATCATCGCCGTCACCCGCCCGAGGGCCTGCGTGGCCCTCTGGACTTTCAGATGGGGCTCAGCCTCCTCTTTGCTCGGCTTCTCGCCTCCTTGCCATCACGTTCTGTTGGCTTTTGGGGTGCACTGGCTGCTCCGTGGTCTGTGGGTGTCCTGGTCATTCATCCCGCTCTTCCCTCCCTCCTAATGCGAGCAGGAGGCGCACGTCCCCTCCGAGTTCTGTGTGTCCTTCTCTATTTTCTGATTTCCGTGATGATTTCCTTTGACGAGTGTCATCTTCTTGTCACGTGTTTCTGGCCGTGGAGGAGCACGGTCACGTGTTCTTGCTTTGCTGTGCGGCAGGTGAGCAATGGTGTGCGAGCTGCTCCCAGCAAGCCAGGAGGCGGCACTGCGTTCGGTCAGGGTCCACTCACCAGGGGCTGTGGGGTTCACGTGAGCAGACAAGCCCCTGATGCCCAGCGTCCGAGCCTGGACAGGATGCCCCAGGGCCAGGAGGTGGGGGACAGGCTTTGGGGCGGGTTGAGGGTAAGGGCCCATTATGTGTCGGGTGTTCGGGGACACAGGCTCCAGGCTTAGGCGGGGGGTGCAGCTGCCCCGTGCGTCAGGGTCGGGGTTAGGAGTGCTGCCGAGGGGCAGAGAGGAGGCTGGTGTGTGAGAGGGCACGTGGGCGGTGTTCCCCCAGGACAGGGCAGGACGGGGCGGGGGACTGGAGGCCGAGTTCAGAGGACTCTCTGGGGGTTTGTGACACATGTAGGAGAGAAATGGGCTGGTGTGTGGGGAGGGGGGCTGTGGTCTTCCTCCAGGAGGGCCACACACATGGCAGCTTCGGGTGCTGATGGGAGTGCTCAGGGCAGGCAGTGCTGAGCAAGGCCTCAGCTGGGGAACAGGCAGGGGGACGTGCGGAGGGGCAGTGGGGTCAGGCTGTCCTAGGCCCCCAGGACAAGGGGGCAGGGTGGGTGAGCACGAGGGGCGGTGCTGCCCAGGACAGTGTGGGGCGGGCAGCGCACCCCGGGGAGCTTGTTAGATGTGCTGGTCTCCGGGCCCAGCCCAGCCCTGCTGAGTCAGAACCAGGTGTTTGAGTAGCTCCTCTGGGGTTCTGGTGCTGCTCGAGCCAGAGGACTGTGAGAGGGACTTCAGCTGTGCCGACCCACTGAGTCGGAGGGTGGGCACCAGGGGACAGCGGCCTCACCCTGGAGTGTGAGCCGGCAACGGGGCTGACGACTCGAGAGGATGACTGGATACCAGTCCCAGGCAGGTGGGAGAGGGAGCAGGGAGAGGGCAGAGGGCAGGAGGGAAGGAGAGAAGAGGCCCACCAGGGTCTCAGGGTTCAAGGGTCACTGGCATGGACATTGAGACCGTAAGGCCAGGACAGGAGCAGCTTGGGATGGAGCACAGATCCCAGACTCACATCTTCCTGGACGAGGGGCCGGGAATGAGGGTGCAGGTGGCAAGTGCCGGGTGGGTGCCTGGTGGCAGGTGGCTGGGCCCTGGTGGGTGGGGTCCGCCAGGCTGCAGGGGCAGGAGGGGAAGGAGGCCGCGGCCTGGCGTGGGGCTGCAGGAGGGCCTGTCCTGTCCTTGGTCCTGGCTGTCCTTTGGCTCTTTCATGACTTTACAAGTTTGTTTTGTATTTTCATCCCCAAGTCATGTCCGTCACCCTTATTTTAGGGCTTTGACCTTCCTCCCAGGGCGGCCGCTCAGGGGCTCTGTCCTTCCGTGTTGTGTGAATCCTCACCGTGAGCTCATGTCAGTGAAGCTCTTTCCCTCTGGTGGCAGGCGGCCTGGGCGTCCCTGCAGAGTAGGTGGAGACTGACTGTGGCTTCTTCCCGCCAGGTCCCCCGGGGGGCCACTGGGACTAAGTTCCTGGGCCACCGAGCAAATAAACTCAGGCCTGTGCAGTGTGCGGGCACCTGCTCGGGTGGCTTTCCTTCAACGCCTGGATCCAGGCAGAGGACAAGCGGCCCGGCCACCCTCCCCGTCCCACATGGGACGGGTCTGGGACTCCAGGGGCCACCCCTCTGGGCTGGGGTCCCTGTGCCTCTCAGGGCCCTCTCGGGCGCCCTCCTTCTTTGTGGCATACCCAGAGCTGGCTGCCCATTACCCCGGACTCAGGAAGAATGGTGGCTCCTTTGAAAGCCTTCCTTTCTTGTGGCCACTGGTCAGTGGGCATTTAGCCCGGAGTGGGAGGTTCTCACCAATGAAGGGCCTCTCCCTTGGGCCCCAGCCCTGGCCCACAGCAGCCGCACACTTTCCCACTGTGCCCCTTGAGCCTCTCACAGCTGCTTTGCCGAAGGCTCTGGACAGGACCTGTACTCCAACCAGTTAGGGCCAAAGACCAGAGCAGCATCTTTCTAGATCTGTCCCTCCCATCAGCAAGAAGGTAGTGGCTGTTCAGGCTCAGCTGTCCTTGAGCATGTGGGGCTGGTGGAGGCGGCCCCCGCCCCTGAGATGTGTGTGTGGCCTCTGTGCATCCCAGTGGTGACAGCGTTACGGTCTTTGAGGCTGTCCTCGGGTCTGTCAGCAAGTCCTGAGTGGCCTCGGGCATTGGGCTGTGACCTGAGCCAGCTTAGACCCTGTGGCTGCGCCGTGGGGCCACGAGAAGGCACTGTGGCTCCAAGCAGGCACCTGGTTGCAGGGTGTTTCACAGACCCCAGCTGGGCATAAGCCGGGCAGGGCCAGCCACAGCCCCGCTTGGCCGTCCGGAGGGCACCCAGCTCGCTTTGACATCTCTTGGGAACACCGCTGCTCCAAGGACTCTTCCTCTCTCGGCTCTTGCACAGTGTCCGAAGCTCCTGCAGGACAGAGGAAGGTCAACAAGAGGCATTTTTCGTTTGGGTTTTTCTTTCCTTTTCCCTGTTTTCCACTGCTTGCCAGGCCCTGCTAACGAGTCACCATGTCAAAGGGGCAGCACACGTGCCCTGCGTGCCATGAAGGTGACTGGGGCACAGAGAAGTGGCCGGAGCCCCTCAGACAGGGCCCACCCTCTGTCTGTCCTGGGGAACAAGCCCTGTGTCCCACATGAGACGGCCCCGTGCACGGAGGGGTTTGAGAGCAGTTTGGGGCTGGACAAGCCGCACTGAGGCTTTGTGTCTTCACAGCTCCGGGAAGAGGCCTGGCGAGGATTTGCTTCTCTGGGTGACCCGCTCGCAGGACTCCTGGCCATGCTGGAGAGCGGCCAGGGTCGGCAGGGAACGGGCCCCTCCCTAGAGGTGTGGGTTGCCTGTGAGCTCAGCTGTTGGCTGCAGGCTCGGCCATGCCCAGGGCTGGCCCAGGTGAGCCCTGCCCACAGCCCCACTGGCCACTCTCCTGAGACCCCTGCTTTCCGCCTGTCCACCCCTCCGGGCACAGTGGGCTCCATGCCACATGACCAAGCTCCACAGCCTGTGAGCTTGCCTGTGGTGGGTGGGGGTGAGGCACTGGCCTTAGGACTGACCATCACTCCTTGGCCTGTGGGCTTGACCCTCAGCGTCCCAGCAGCCACACGTCTCCCTCACCTGGGTCCCAGCCTCCAGGCCTCGCCCACAGGCACAGGGCTGCATATGCCGGACTTCTCGGGTCAGGCCTGCCCAGCACCAAGTCCCATGACCCTGGCTGCAGGACACACCTCTGGCTGAGGCTGGGTCTCGGGTCTCCAGGGCAGCCCAGGGCTGAAGCAGCTGCAAGCCCGTGCAGTCAGGGTCCTCGCCAAGAGCACCCCCCGTCTTGTGGAGCCTCTGGTCAGCATCTTCCAGCTGCAGGATGCAGAGCGGAGGCCCCTGCTGGCACACATCCACCAGCTCCACCAGGACGGCAAGTTCAAAGAGGTGAGTGAGACCCTCCATGTGGTATGGGCCCCCAGGGAGGGGCTCCCGGCACTCCTGACTGTCCCGCCACGGGCTGGCTTGCACATGGGGTCAGCGGGGCAGAGGAGAGCCAGATGGGGGGGCCTCACAGTGTCCATCCGGAAGTGTCCTCACTGTCCCTCCACTCGGGCGGGGCTGTGTGGGGGACTTTGGGTCTGGCAGAGAGTTTTGGGGACCAGCCAGCCAGGGACATGGCTCAGGGCCTTGCTGGGGGTCAGGGGCCTGGGAGACCCTCACACCGAGTCGAGAGAGGCTGGAAGCAGCCCCACACCACGTGGGGGTCCCTCCCCCTGCAGTGCCCCCGGGGCCCTCGAATGCAGTCAGCAGCGCTCGTCACCCGAGCTCTGGCCCGGGGGCCTGTGTGGCAGGGCCACCTACCTGGGACACGGCTGTTGAGTCCAGGGCACATGCTCGTGGTTGAGGAGAGCCCAGGTGTAGGGAGCCAGGCGACGCCCTGCGCTCGGGCCCAGGTCAGATGGCTGGACTCCCACAGCCCTGGGATCAGCTCCAGCCAGTGCCCTTCTGCCAGGTGTACTGGCTCCTGAAGTCCATGCTGCCCATGGGCTGGGTCAGGCCACGGTGATGACTCTGGGGGGTCTGACTGCAAGGGTCCTGCTGCCCCCAGGGCACCAGTGATCTGCAGGACTGGCCCCTTGGCGTGACACCTGTGCCTCTGCAGTCGGCGTGGGGGCGTCGGTGGAGGGTTACAAGTGTGTGTGGAGCGTTTGGGGCAGCTGCCTCTTTGTAAGGCCTTTTTGCGGGGACTCAGGGACACAGGCCCAGTGGCGGCAAGTGCCCGGGACAGGCTTGTGGGACCTGGGTGGGCCCAGAAGGTTCTGGGGGTGGCAGCCAGAGCACCAGGGCCACTTAGGTGGGGGTGCTGGGAGCCATGGGGCTGCGGGGGTGGTGGCTTCCGGGCAGGAGGTGAGTCCATCACTGTGTGTGGGTCGGTGAGGGGCTTGGTGGCTCATGGTCGGCGGGCAGTGGGTCCTCGCCGGTTCTGCCCATCCCTTGGAGGGGGTGCAGGGTCCCTGCCTGCCCTGCAGCCAGGGAAGGGTGCCGCTGAGCCAAGAGGGCCATGCGTCCGGGAACCGTGCGTGGCCTCGGGGCCGAGTGGCAGCGGCGCCTGCAGAGATGCGGGAGGCAGAAGGCAGCCTGGCGCGCCGGCCTCTCCCGTGACACTCGAGCCTTTCAGAGAGTGTCTGGCTGGCTGAATGCGCCCCCCTCGCCCTCCGAGGCAGGAATCCCCACACAAAGGGGGCTCTTGTCCCGCACAGGCCCCTTCTGCGAAGAAAAGCCATTGTCCCTGGGCAGGGCCGCCCGGCAGGCGGTGCATGCCCCAGTGCCCACCGCGCCGGCCCCAAGGGCCGCATTCAGGCCTGTCTGCTCGGATTAGCCAGGACTCACTACTTAATGTGCCGCGATATTTCATGTCCAGGGCGGCGGCTGCTCTGGGCGGGATGAATGCCTGCTTTTGTCTACTGAGTTATTTTATTTACATTTTTTAAACAGCTTATCAAGGTAAAAAGATAGCTTTGCTATTAAAAAAAAAAAAGAAAAGAAAAGCCCCTTGGCTCCAGGCCTGCCCTGAGCTGCAGGGGTGGGAGGCAGGCCCATCCTGGGGTCCGAAGTCGTCCCATATGTGTTTGGTGGCCTGGGCACCTGGCCGGCCTCCTGCCTGCCACAGCGGGCAGCCCCGGGGCTCCATGGAATGATCTTCCCACAGGTGCCACCCCAGCCCTCCAGGTCTCCTTATTTTCTCCAGAGCAGCAGCTCTGGGCCTCTCAGGTCAGGTTTCCATATCCTCACCGTGCCCCAGCTGCTGTCCGCTCACGCAGGGGCCGAGTGGGTGCAGCCCTGGGCATCCCCTCTGTGGGGGCTGGCTCCCTCCCCAGCTAGCACTGTGCCAGCTCCCAGGCCTGAGCAGGGGCCGGTCACAGGCACCTAGACGGGTAGGTAATCTTCCTTCACATGACCAGGCAGTGGCAGCCTGGCCTGCTGTCGCCTCAGTAGGAGCTCAGACAGAGAAATGACCAGAGGCCCATTCTAAGCCAAGCCTGATTGCAGTGACAGAACAACATGGAGCCCCCCAACCCCAAGCAGGAGGTCAGGCCAGGGGGCCTCCTGGAGGAGGTGGTTTTGCTCCCAGCCATCCCACCAGATTCCTGTGGCTGCCCCCAGGCGCCCTCCCTTGGCCGGGTGAGACCCAGCAGTATCTCCCTTTGTTCTGTGTGCTTACCCCCACCCCCGTCCAACCTCCAAGTCACAGAGTCCCCGGGGTCTGCCTGTGCAGAATGAGGGCACCTCCCACCCTGTCCCCAGGGGGCTTGATGGCTGTCCAGCCCTGGGCCTGCTGGGCACACAGGCTGCCTGGCCGAGAGAGGGCACCCTGGGTGCGCAGAGAGCTCTGGCCAGGCCTGCATGGGAAGCTGGCTGCTCTGGAGGAATCAAGCAGAGGAGGGGGACTGCTCTGTGCACCCCGAAGCCTCTCCTGACAGTGTTGTACAGCAAGGTAGAGTGCGCACCCCACCACACAGGTGAGGCCCACGCTGTACCCCTGGGTGGGTAGGGCCAGGTTCTGAGCGCAGACTGCCCCTCCACGCTGGCCCCCGCCTTTCTGCAGCCAGTGGGCACTACCGACCAGGGCCCCAGCTGCAGGGCAGTGGGTGAGCAGGCTTCTTGGGAGGGCAGCGGTCCCACAGGTGGAGAGAGGGGACCCTTGGGGCAGGAGGTGAACAGGCTCCAGGCCCCCTCTGCTGCTGAGAGGGCTGTGCCCATCCTGCCCTCGGCCCCATGCTGACCTGACCCCTTCAGGTCAGGCCACCATCCCAAGCAGAGGCTTTGCTCTAGGATTCAGAGGGGTGCTTGAATTTGTGGGGGCCCAGGGTCCCCCAGGACCTGTGGAGGCTGGGGCCTGCAGGACGGTCTCTTGTCCCCAGAGGAGCAGGGCCTGCAGGACGGTGGAGGCTGACAGCCCAGCAGAGGTGGGGAGGCACGGGGAGGCCGGGGCCCAGGCTGCTTGGGCCACCTCCAGCCTTCCCTGCCACCTCAGCCATGGTCGTTGGCCCAGGGTCTGGCCTGGAGGGCGGGAGGGCCCTGGGCCCAGGCATCCCTCCCAGCCCTCTTCTCCACTGTGGCTGGGCCTGAGAGGCCCAGGTCCAGGCCCTGGAAGCCAGGCAGCCGGGCGGAACACAGCAGGAGCGGGGCTAGGGGGTTCGGGCCCCTCCCAGCTATGAGCCCAGTGTGTGGGGCCCTCCTAGGTGCGTGCCCAGCGCCCCCGCAGCTCCTCAGGGGGAGCATGAAGAAGAGGGAAGGTGCCCACTTGCCAGCACCTGCGCCCTCCCTGGGCCCCAGCCCCTTTCCAGCTCTGTGTCCCCTCCCTCTGCTTTGTCCCCTCCCCAGACCCTGGGCACCCCCTCCAGCCCAGCCCCCACCCTCCCGGCCCTGGGACCATGGGGCCCGGCGGAGGCCAAGCTCCTGGACACTGGCCAGGCTGTGGAGGCGCCGGTCAGCGCCGGTCAGGGAAAGGCCCCCTGCCCTGCGCCCCCACCGCCATCCCAGGCTGGAGGCGGAGCGAGACTTTCCCAGGCCGCTATTTTGGTCTTTCTATGAGCTGCCTGGGATGGGGGGGGCGGCAGGGGAAGGGGGGGCTGCTCTGCCGGTTATTTTCGCCTCTAGCAGGAGTGGGAGCGGGATGTATGGAAATTATTAATAGCAGCGCAGCCTGTACTACGTGCGGGCGCTCAGGGCCCAGAGCTTCTCTGCCCCTCGGAGGAGGGTCCCCGCCACCCGGCACAAGGGCCCCAGGCGCCAGGGTCTGGTGCTCTGCCATGCCCGCTGCCCCGCCAGAGGGACAGCTGCCCTGGGAGCCTCTTGCTCTGCAGACAGGGCAGCCCTGAGCATCGCCCACAGGGATACACCTCGCCAGCCTCCCTAGCTGCTCCCACCCGGCTAGCCCCCTGCCAGCTGCACCACACACAGGGCATTCCTTGTGGGAAGTGCCCAGAGGCAGAGGCTGCCAGCCCCAGCCCCTCACTGTGGGCACGATTGGCCATGCCAGGCCCTTGCCTGGGGTGTGGGGGTGGTTCTTAGGGGGAGCGGGCAAGCAAAGGCAGGTGTGGGAAAGCAGCATGGTGGGTGTCTGGGCTTCATGGGTCAGCAATGCGGGCTTCTGCCTCTTGTCCCTTGTCCCTGCCACTGGGAGGGGGTCTTTTTCAAGGTCTGGTTCTTATGGGAGAACCAGCTGGTGTGTCCCAAGGCCCAGTACCAAGACCAGGGATCCCTCAGGGCCTTCTGGAGGGTCTGGGCCGCTTGGGGTCTTGTGGGTGTGTGCCTTGCCCCTCCCTCTTGGTGCCCACCTGAGCCCAGCACCCACCTCGAGGCCCCACCGGGACTTTCCTGTCCGCCCCGCGTGCAGCCCGGCCTGGCAGGGGCCGTGTCGGTTTGCTGCTTCTGGGTTCCAGGCCCCTTGGCCTGGGGGCCACATGGCTGGACCTGAACAGGCTCCTCGGAGGTGACTGGGCATCCGTGCAGAGGGGTGGGAGCCCCCCACCATGGTGAGGCCCAGCTTAACTGCTGCTTTTGTGTCTGCCAGGCTATCATGCTGGGCACGAAGCTAAAGCTGCAGCCAGAGCTGGATGTTGAAAAGGTGAGAGTCTTTCTCATGTAAATTGTTTAGGTTCCAATTTGGATAAAACCCAGGTCTCCAAGACATGGTTTAGGAAGGGGGTCTCCTACCAGTGAGCCCTGGGCTTTGCTCCCCACAGGATGGGGCCAGGGCAGGGTCACTGTGACCCTCTGACCGTGCAGGACAACCGCAGGGGGAGCAGGCGCCTCTGAGCAGGCAGTGGGCTGCGGTGTGACATGCTCAGAAGGGCCTGGCAAGCTGTCTTCCTCTGTTGTGGAGCAGCCCAAGAGGCAGTCGGGGTTGGGGCTCCCCAGGGACCTCCCCCTGGGGTCTGGGCTCCAGGCAGCCTGAACCTCGTGACTGCCTGGAGGCAAGGAGGGCTCTTCTGCAGGAGCTACCCAGAGGGGGGCTTTGTCGAGGTCTGGTTCTTGCGGGAGGACCGGTCCATGTGTCCCAAGGCCCAATGCCAAGTCCAGGGATCCCCAGGGCCTCCTGGAGTGCCTGGGCTGCTCGGGGTCTTGTGGGCGTGTGCCAGTCCCTGTGCTAGCATGCCATCTGTGCATACAAGGAGGCGCTTGTGGGCCACCAGGGCCACTGCCAGTGGTTGGTCTCCGTCTTGCCCCTCACCCTTCACAGCTTAGTGACAACTAGGAGGAGAGGCCGGCACTTCTCCAAGAACCCCTTGCCTCTTGGGGCCCCTGCTCCTTCATAATGGAGTTGGGGATGGTTGCAGAGCCCCCAGGGGCAAGGCCTGCATGGGTCCGTTTGTGTGTGCCAGGCTGGGACCAGAGCACTGGGTGCCGGTGGGGCCCCACTGAGGTGCTTGGACCCCCAGGGGTTGGGCCTCTGCCCCAGGTTTGCCTTCTGGCCAGTCCCTTCTCCAGGCTGGAGGTGCGTCTGGGGTCTTGGTGGCGGGGACAGAGGTTCCGGGTGCCTGCAGGGCCACAGCCTGAGGGTGTGCTCTCCTGCAGATGTGTACCCCACTGCTCCTCCAAGACAAGGCGAGCCTTGTGGAGCGCTACGTGGCCGGTTTCCCGGACCTCCAGAGGAGGCTGCTGGCTCTCATGGACTCCTGGTGCCGGCCGGGCTTTGACATCAGAACTGTCTCCAGGTGAGCCCTGCGGGGCCCAGGGTGGAGCAGGCGCACGGGAGAGGGCCATCTCTGGAGCCGGGCAGGAGGTGTTCACGGACATCGGCCAACGTGGCCCCTTCCTCATCTGGGCTTGGAGCCCCTCTGCCTGTCCATCCACTCATTTCTTTCCTTCATTGAATAAATCCTTTCGAAGCACCTGCTGTGTGGCATGTATCCCACCACGTTCCAGAGCACAGGCCCTGACAGGGAGCCCATGTGGATTCCCTGAAACTGCCTGTGTGCATGTGTGAGAGATGAGGGCAGGGGGCAGGGTGGCCACATGTGTGGTGCGGCACTTCCCAGGCCTGAAGGCGCTGTCAGCAGGCAACAGGGCCAGGTCCTGGCCCCAGGAGGGTCAGCCGTGCCCAGGCCGTGCCCCTGGAGCTGTGCCAACTCTCTCTCTTGCCCTCTGGGTTTGTTCCCGTCCTTGACATGGGGCTACGTCTGCCTGTCCCGGAGGGTTGTTGGACTTCCCATGGTAAGACACACATGGGCAACACACATGGGGCCCCAGGCCAGGCACGGGTGCCAGTTGCCACGTTCTTACTGTGTTTTAAAAAAAGACAGGAACAGTGACTGTGCTGCCAAGTCGGGAGTCCCATCGTGAAGGGGCATTACACAGTGGGCAGGGGCCAAGGGGGGCCCTATGGTCGAGATTTACCTAAAGACACTGGTTTGAATTAATAAATTTAAAAAATTTCCTAGTTCTGTGCTTTGAAAGGACCTGGACACGACCACACCCCACAGCAAGCATACTAGCAAACAGACCTTTGTCTCTGAATACCACGCCTGCTACAAGGAACAGCCCCTCTTGGAGGCGGCCTGAGAAGAGAGACGGTGATGTTAGCAGAGCTTAACGCCTTGAATTCTTAAAAATCCGGGAGTCTACAGCGATGCTCCAGGGAGTAGGAAAAAGCTCTCATCTGCTGTGCGGGTCCCAGCCGACACATGAAAGAGGGAGGGGCGGTGAGGTCACCAGCCAAGCACAGGTCATAAGGAGGCGCTGAGGTAGCGATTGCCCGTTGTGAACTGCCAATAATAGGAATGAAAAAGTGAGTGCCGCCATAGACGCTGAGACGTGTTGAGGGGCATCATTTACAACTTGAAGCAAATATATTTGACAATTGAGATGTAATATACCAAATTCTTGAAAAACACGATTTACCAAAATTGATACAAGAAGAAATAGAAAATGTGAATAGGCCAGTACCTAGTGAATAAATTCAATCTGTAGTTTAAAACTTGGCCACAAAGAAAACTTTGACCCGGCGGCCTTCCCCAGTGAGTTCTGCATATTTAAGGAAGAAATCATACCAGTCTTACACGGATCCCTCCAGAGATCACAAAGCTGACCACATCGCATCTTGCTGTTCAGCCAGTTGAAGACTTGATACCAAAGCTTGGAAAGAACTCTGGGGGAAGGAAAATTAAAATCCAGTGTATCTCATGAACATGGCTACAAAACTGAACAAAATATTAGCAATCAAATCAACTGGCATCAAAGTTAGTCAAGAAAATGAGGGGACTGGCTCGGAGTGGAAGAAAATATTTGCAAAACACACATAATGGCTAAAACTTCAAGTCTGACCTGCCAAATGCAGGCAAGGGTATGGAGCAAGTAGGACTCAGGTGCTGCGGGTGGGCTGTAAAGCAGGGCAGCTGCTTCAGAAAGCTGGGCACCAGTGCCAACTTAGCGACTCCACCTTGCATTGCCTGGGAGAAATGGGCACAGTGCCCACAGGAGGACCACAGGGACAGCAGCTTTACTCGTAATCACCAAGCATGGGGGCAAACCCAGGTGCCCATCAGGCAACAGGATGGGTGCAGATTACTGTCCGTGAACCCAGAGTAAGGAGGTCGGAGCTGCTGTCACAGTGATGGGCGTCGGGAGGCTGGGCCCTGAGAGTCCATGCTCCACAGCTCCAGTGTCTGCGGCCCAAATACCCTGGTCGGGGAGATGATATGGGGCTGGCCTGGGGTGGGGCCCGGGGGGCGTGGGTGTTGCCGTGCTCTGTGGCGATCACAAACGCAAATACATCTGCCATTTCCACGCCAGAGTTCAGTTACACCTGCATAAGCATTTCTTTTTAAAAGTGCGTCTGGCAGATAAACAGGAGCGTTTACTGCCCCTCTGCTTTAAAAGGAAGCCAGCAAGCAGATGACCAGGCAGTGACTCTTAGCAGGCCTGAGAAAGCTGAGGCCCACGAGTGCCAGAAGCAAGTGGAGTTCAGCAATAGAGCCCCGAGAAGGCCCGGGAGCCAAGCCCAGACTCCTCCTGGCACAGGGTGGGGGCGAGGCTCACCGGCAAGTCAGGCCTGCCCTCCAGGCCCGGGGCCCTGGCATCCTGCAGCTCTGTGCCAGAAGAGGGAGAGGCCTGCAGGACCCACACAGCGCTCCCATCAGTGAGGAGTGTGGCAGGAGGTTCCGAAGATAAATCTGAAGATACTTTCCAAAGGTAGTGAAAACAAAGAGGGAAATTAGAGACTCTGTCAAGAAGGCCCAACATCCAAATAATGGGATTCCTGGAAAAAACAGAGAACACGGGAGGGAGAAAATCACCAAAGAAATTACCAAAGGACTCACTGAACACCTGTTCTGCGTCAGAAGGGAGTGGGAGCGGTGTCGTCAGACTTGTGGAGTGGCTGGATGACAGACCCCCGGCCGGCAGGGACAGCGCTCAGAGCCTCAGCGGCGCAGGAATCGGCTGGCGCTGAGGGCTTCTCACACAGAAGTCTCAGCTCAGCTGAGCTCTCGAGCCAGCGGGCAGCAGCCTCCCGGCCTTGGTGCCGCAGCCTATGCAGAGAGACGCAGGGCAGTTCTGGACCCAGTCACCTAGTAAGCACAGGGCGAGGCAAGCTTGGTGCCCAGACAGGAGCCTACAGAGGCAGTGGACTCCACCAGTGTGGACTCTGTGATGGCCGGAGAGTGGCTTAGCTGCCGGCATTTGCACAGTCACACTGCAAGCACAGCACATGTGGCTTATTTGAGAACTCGGTCCTGAGGGTGCATGCAGTGAGGGAGGAGGGCCTTCCGTGGAGAGACATCTGAACGGAATCCTTAAAACCCATCAAGGAGAACGCACGGTGCAGGGATACAGAGGCAGACCCTGGACCAGGCCATCATCGACGTGCCGGTGGCCAGCCCACTGGGTGACATACTGCTTTTCCTGAAAGCCTGGTAGAATTACCTGAGCTTTAAATGGTGCATGTGTATGACTTTGATAGAAATGAACATGTGAAAATGTATTAACTTAGAAAGCAGCACCGGGCAGAAACCGTGTCTCTGTCCCCACAGACGGCTCCCGCAGGTGACCCCTCGGAGGCTGGAGAAGCTGAGCCCCAAGGCACTGATGCGGCAGGTCCTGAGCCTGCGGGAGAAGTACGGCCTGGACCCCGGTGAGTGAGGCCCATCCCCTGCGGACGGCCCGGGCGGGGGCTGCTGCTCCTCTTCCCGTCTCGGGCGCCCTGCTGCCATTCGGCAGCCCACCGCGGGCCTGGACACTGTGCCGCAGATGAGCCGTGAGCCCCTCTCCCCACCGGGGTGGGGGGGTCTCCCGGGGGCGGGGCTGCGCTGTGCTCCTCCCGCAAGCTCACCTCCCACCCCTCGCAAAGGAAAAGTCATCAGTAGGGGCTTTCAGATTTGCTTCATTACATTGTGGAAATTCCATTCAATTCCCGTCTTACTGCGTGTCGATCAGGAATGGGTGCTGGATCGCATCGGGTGCTCCCGCATCTACTGGAGTGACGTTGTGCGTCCCCCTTAGTCTGTTAACGTGGCAGTTCACGGCGATGGACTCTGTGTGCCGACCCTGCCTTCCTGTGGTGGCCCCGCCTCGCTCACACTGCTACCCACTTATATGCATCGCCGGCCCGTTTCCACTGGGGTTTCTAGACATATGTTTCACACCTGTTCCTAAGGCACCGGCAGGGCTGTCCCTGACATCCCCTCGCCAGCTTGCAAATGCCGACAGCATTCTGGGTGTTAGTCGTTCGGGCCTTCGCCCCTTTTTATTTCTCTTGACCCATCTCACTGGAAGTTCTAGCCTTTTCAAAGAACTGGCTTTGGGCCTTTTCTCCTCCAGTTTTATTGAGATCTAACTGGCATATAAAACTGTATTCATTTTAGGTGTACAACACATGATCTGATACCTGTATATATTGCAAAATTTACCTAACACCCATCACCTACACAGTTACAATTATTTTCTTGCGTGAGAGCCCGTGAGATCTCTGTGACATGGTACTGTTCGCTATAGTCACCTCTCTCTGAGTTTGATTTTTCCGATTCCACAGACACGTGAGATTGCACAGTATTTGTCTTTCCTTGTCTAACACTTAATTTAGCAAAATGCCCTCAACGTCCTCCACGTTGTCACGAATGGCAGGATTTCCTTCTATTTATGGCTGTACTCATATGTTTTATTGTATATATTCCTCCCGTTTCCTTTATCCATTATGGGCACTTAGGTTGTGTCCACGTCTTAGTGTAAGTGATGCTGCAGTGAGCACAGGGGGCAGACACCCCTTGAGATCCTGATTTCCTTTCCTTTGGATAAATGCCCAGCTGCGGAGATGCTGGGTCCCGCGATGGCTCTGCCTTCGGTGCTTTGAGGAACCTCCATACTGTTTCCGTAGAGGCTCCGCCAATTCACATTCCCGCAAACAGGACACGAGGGTCCCGTTTCTCCGCATCCTCGCCAACACTTGTCGTGTCTTGTCTTGTTGACAGTGGCCATTCTAACAGGGATGAAGTGACGCCTCACTGTGCTTTTGATTCAAATCTCCCTGACGTTTAAGGGTGCTAAGCACGGTTTTACATGTCTGTTGGCTTCTGAGTCTCGTCAGAAAATACCTGCTCAGGTCGTCTGCCCATTTTTTACCTGGATTATCTGGGGTTTTCTGCTACCGAGTCGCGTGCGCTCCTCATGGGTTTGGACATGACGCTCGTCAGAGGCGTGGTCGGCTGACATTCCCTCCCGCTCTGCTCATGGCGCCCTGTGCCGTTTGACGTCGTCCCACGTGCCTGCTTCCGCTCTCGCTGCTGTGCTTCTCACTGTCGGCCCCGCTGCTCTTCCACGGGTTCCGTGCCCTTGCGCCCTCTTCCTCTCTTTACTCTTGTGTCTTGTGGTCAGACTAATTTCTCCTGCTCCCTTTTCCACGTCACTGATTCTCTTTGCATCTGTGTCCACCACATCACAAAATCCATCCATTGTTTATGTTTGAGGCTGATTTTTCAGCTCTAGAAGTTGTAGCTTGGTTCTTTGTCAGGGCTGCTGTTTCCCTGGGGCTCCCTGTTGCCTGGGGGTGTTTCCTGCCTCGGCTTTCCGTGGAGCATCCCCTCATGGCTGCTCGGTGGTCTTTGCATTTCAGCACCGTCTCTGGCTGTCATCATCTGCCTTGTTCCCTTGGAGGCTTAGTTACCAGGTTTTCTGCTGCCACCCTTGAGAAGCTGGCCCCTGGGTGAAGGTGGCTGTCCACACAGAGGAGGACAGTATTTGCAGCTTTTTGCAAAGACAGAGGCACGTCTTTGATTCACAGTTTTAAGCAGGCCCTTGTGATGTTAGGTGTGTAGATGGGAGAAGCAAGAGGGGCCAGGCTGTCAGTGGATGAGTCAGGGTCCGCCAGGAACTGGGAGGTGTCAGCGGTCCTGACAGCGCAGACCTGTCCTGAGGCACGTGAGCCAGGTCTGGGAGGACTGGCTGGGCAGCGGGACCCCCGAGACAGCAAGGGAAGGAGCTGGGGGGAAGGAGCCACCCTCCAGCTGTGCAGTAAAACCAAGAGGGTGGAGTTTTAGACTCAAAAGCCCCAAGGAGGCCCCAGTGATGCAGACCTTTGTGTGGGCATGAGGGACCGGGAAGTGTGAGGTGTGGGCAGCTGCCCTGCAGCTAGGAAAGTGCCACTGGGATGAGCAGGACCTACTCAGGACCGAGCCCTGGGACAGGGGCTTCTGACACACCCACACACCTGCCCTGGGCACCAAGTGGGGGAGCCCCACTAGTGTAGCTCAGCAGGCATGTGGGGTGCAGACACCCAGGCCACCTGCAGAATGGGCTTCCAGGGGCTCTCAATGCAGGACCACCATAGGGTCGATGGCAGCTGCTCCCTGGCAGAGGCTCCCTCACCCAGGATGGGCAGGGAGGGCGGTGGGCCTGTGGCCCACAGAGCCAGGCGTGGTAGGAGCCCAGCTGGACCCAAGGTGCAGGCTCCGGGCAGGGCCATTCATTGACCCCCAGGGGTCTGCACTGCAGGATCTGGGCCTGGGGTGGGGCTCCTGGGCTTAGAGCCCGAGGAGCCTTTGGACATCGAGCTGGTCTCAGCCTGGTACCCTCAGAACATGGAGCGTCCACACCACCCACAAGTCTCGGCCGAGCCTTAGGACTTTCCCTCCTGCCGGTGTAGAGGGCCGAGAGGGCTCCAGGGCAGCAGATGCTTTCCGTGGGCCCCTCGGCCTGGGCCCCTCTGGGAGCAAGGAGTCCAGCCTGCCGGTGACAGAGTCTGCTGATGCACAGGTGCTGCGGGCCCCATCTGCAGCTCCCCCAGGGCCCCGGGTCTGTTCCACAAGGCCTCAGGGTAGCAGCCTGGAGGGAAGGGCACCAGCACCTCCATTGTCCTCGTTGTGTGTCAGCCATCGTGGCCACAGGCCTGCGCGTGGCTGGCTTGTGTCCTCAGCAGGTGGACAGAGGTAGACATGGGACGAGGGCCAGGCATCCTGCTGGCCTGTCCACCCCGAGCTTCTCCCAAGCCCTCCCTCCCCAGGCCTGGGTCACAGGTGGGCACACCCCCAGCAAACGTGCTGGCACAGGCTGGAGTCAGCAGGGTAGGAGCGGCCGGCCCTCCCTTCCAGCCCCAGCTCGGGGCCGCACTGGCCTTCGCTGTCCGCACAGGGTGCTCCACAGTGCTGGCCTTGGGCTGCTGGCTGGGGCAGCCGCCCCCTCAAGAGCACGGAGGCCCAGCCAAGGTCCTGGGGAGGCCAGGCCCCTACGGGGAGGCGCAGGCAGGCGAGCCCTGTGGCCAGCATCCCAAGCTGCAGGGACAGCCGGCCCCAGGAGGCAGATGGGTGGCGCCCTTCCTGGGCCCCTACAGGCTCCGAGCAGAATGGGGTTGACGGGGAACCACTGAACTCTTGGGGCCATTTCCTCGGTGACCCCACCTCCCAGCGGGAGGACAGGAAGCAAGCACACCACCATGTGCAGAGGGTCCAGCCTGGAGGGAAGGCTGGAGGCCCAGGGGAGGTGGGGCTGCTGTCCCTCCAGAGGGAGGGGATCCAGAGTACCCAGGAGAGGCTGGGGCCTGGTGGGCAGTGAGCAGGGCGGCATGGGGGCCCAGGGCCCAAGGCGCAGGTGGGAAGACAGGCAAGGCTGCAGCCCCCGCCCCCACCTCCCTCAGCGAGCCCTGGCCTCTTTCAGCTCTGTGTCCCCATGCTGCCACCCAGCAGCGCCTGGCAGCCCTTCGGTTCCTGTGTTGCAAGCGGTTTGTGGAGGTGCGTGCACCCCGGTTAGAGCCCCGAGCCTGGCCGGGCAGAGGGGGGGCTCCAAGCATGGCTGCAAAGGTCACCCTGGCCTTCATTTTGCAGAGAAGCATGTCTCAGGAGAACTGGGCCAACTGCGTGCAGGTGAGTTGGGAGCGTTCCTGTCCACACTCACCAGGCCTCGGGAAGCCCTGCATGGCGTGGCGCACACTCCCTGGAGGCCTGGCGAGGCATGGTGGCCAGTGTCCCTGAGCGCGAGCATGCATGTGGACCAGGTGTGTGGCTCGTGGCTCACATGTGCATGTGGGGGGACTGGCGCGCTTTCGTGATCACGCACAGGCTGCTGGGTTGGTGGGCAGGTCCAGAGCAGATGTGTGGAGGAAGGCCCTCCCCTTGCAGCACACGCCCCCCAAGAGATGTGGTGCAGGCCAGGTTTGACACCCTGGCAGGGGTGGCAGGCAAGAGGTCATGCTGAGAGGCGGGCTTTGCCGTGGCCCAGGTGGGGCCTGAGCGTCCTGGACCCTCCTCACCCGTCTGGGAGCAGAGTCCCCGGCGACAGGCAGAGAGGGTCTCTGGAGCTTCGGGAGCTCACCTCAGGGAAACTAGACGTCCCTGGGCCCCCTGCTCGCCTGCAGCTCCGTGCCCGCTGGGGCCTGGCAGGTGTTCAGTCCCCAGATGCTCCAAGGGGTGATGCAGGAGCAGAGGGGGCGGCCCGTGGCCATGCCTGGGGCTGCCAACTCCAGCAGGGTGGCTTCAAGATGGGGCTGTCCAGCAGACTCTGTCCTTCAGGCCTGAGCTGGGCAGGGCCACCACAGGTACAGAGCTGTCCCCACTCGTGGATCAGGCTGCCTGGAGGAAGGCAAGGGCCAGTGGAGTCGGGGGTCACTCCCCTCTGGGGCAGCCAGAGGGGGCAGCACTGAGCTGCCCCTGTAGTGGGAGGTGGGGAGGTGGGGTGGTGGGGGTGAGTCATCAGAGAGGAACGTGAACCCCCCGACCCCCCCAGAGGCCCGGAAGGCGATCCCCCCAGGGTGCCCAGGCCAGGGGACCGGAAGGCCAGCGGACATCCTGCAGAGTGTGGAGGGGTTTCCACGTATTGTCCACGTGGGAACCTGCAGCCTGCGGGAAGCAGGCAGCCTGAGGCTGCGGCTGAGCTGTCAGGAAGGTGGTCATCTGCCTGCCAGCAGGGATCCCTGGGGAAGTCAGAAGGATGAGGGCCTGAGGCTCCCAGGGAGGGTGTCCCATCCCCACCCACCTGAGTTACAGCGACCTGTGACCTCAGTCAGGACTGAGGGCCTCCATCGGGCCGGGGAGCAGCGGCTGGGCCTTGTCCAGGGTTCCTGAGGCTGAGCCGGCACGGGGAGCTGCGTGGGCCCTCTGCTTCCATGCAGCCAGCCGGATGGGAGGGGGCCTCCTAAGGCCCCCACAGCAACTGCTACCGCCAGGGCCCCCTCAGTGTCCACGCTCTGGAGCACAGATGCAGGGGTGTCCCTCGGGATGTCTCCCCTGCGTGAGGGGTGCCGAGGGGAAGAGGGCCCACGGCCAGAGCAGGCGCAGGGCCAGGGTGCTCTAGAAGGCGGTGCTGGTCCTGCATCCAGGACCTGGGCCCACGAGGGGTCTGCTGGCAGATGCTGGTGAGAGCGCTGTGTGGGGAGGGGCCGCAGGCTCAGGGTGGGGCAGCGGGCCGGCGCCCGACCAGGAGCCTCAGTCACAGGGCTGCTCCAGGACTCCTGGGGACAGCCCTCCCGCCAAGGCCAGGGTTGAGGACTGCCCGGGTCCAGGCAGAGCCAGGCAGTGGAGCCCCCATCCCCTTCTGTCCACAGGGCCTGGTGGGGCAGAGCCCATGGCTGCAGGAGCAGCTGTTGCAGCTGCTGGCCTCTCATGGGGACACGGCCACAGCCACCCACTGTGCTCTGGACCTCTTCCTGCCCGAGGGGCGGCTGCCAGCCACCGTGGCTGCAGAGCTCAGCTGCCTTAGGCTGCAGGAGAGGTGAGCACCCCCAGAAAAGGGGGCTGGTCCCCAGGCCTTGGGAAGTGACCACAACTCATATATTCCTGCGATTTGGGAATTAGAAACAAAGAGAAACCCAGGAAGGGGCGCCCGGTATCCCCAAGTGCAGGTGCGCAAGGAGCTGACGACACCGTAGGGTCCTGGCACCCGTCTTTGGGTACAAGCCACCTGGCCACAGGCGTGTGACCAGAGCCTGCAGCCCTCCAGGCCTGAGGAAATAGCGTCTGCAGTCTGGGAGGCAGGCGGTGGGCAAGGTGGAGGAGCAGCTGCGGGGGGTGCTGCAGGAGGCAGACCCCACAGAGCCGGCCCCCCCCCCAGCACTCTCTGCCCCTCGAGGCCAGAGGTGCTGGGGGGCACCAGGGACAGCGTGGGGACATGAGTGCAGGGGTGCTGCAGCTCTGCTCCTCCCAGGCCAGCTGGAGGGCCTTCGGCGGACAGGACGGACGGTCACTACCAGCTGCCCATCGCCAGGAGAGACATCCACTTCCTGGCCTCCTGGGAGGACCTGGCCAGCCATGAGGAGGAGCTCCTGCAGGTGGGCTGCCAGCCCCGTGGCTGTTCATCCACTCTGGGCACCTGCCCACAGGTGCTGGCACTGGCCCCCACCCCAACACGCTAAGGCCACGCTCTCCACCTGAGGGCTCCAGGCTTCGTTTTGCACTTTGAGGGGAGTCAGGGGCCAGCCCCAGCCCTGCTCAGGTGGGAGCTCATGGGGCTGGGCAGGCCCACCCAACAGGCCACCTTCCCAAATGCACCCTCAGGGGCAGGTTGGCTTTGCTCCCAAGTCCCCAGCCATGGCCCTGCCGCTCACAGCCCTCCCTGCTCACACCCCACTGTCTGCAGCCTGGCCGGGTGGTTGGTGTGGACGTGGAGTGGAGGCCCTCCTTTGGCGTGGGGGGCCGGCCCCGGCCCTCGCTCATGCAGCTGGCAGTGGAGGGCCATGTGTTCCTGCTGGACCTGCCTGTGTTCTTGGAGCCCGCAGGAGGGCTGGTGACACTGGCCTTCTCCCAGCTGGTGTCCCGGCTGCTCTTGGACCCCTCCATCACCAAGCTGGGTGAGCAAAGCCCCCACCCTGCCCCAGGGGGAGGGTGCTCAGGTGAGGCTCGGGCCCCTTCTTCACGTGCCCATCATGCCAATGGTGCTTGCCCTCAGGTTATGGGATGACAGAGGACCTTCGGAGCCTGGGCACCTCCTGCCCTGCCCTGGCCCATGTGGAGAAGCAGCTGCAGGGTGGCCTGGACCTGCTGCAGGCGCACAGGCAGGTCGGTGTGGTGGGCAGGGCGGGGCTCTGGGACCCTAGGGGCCCTCGCTTCCCTGCTGGTGCCTGAGGAGGAGGGTGTCTCCTGCCACAGGCTGGCAGGGTGTCTGTGGGTCAAGACTTGCCCCTGGCCTCTCGAGCCTTCGGGCTGGCCTAGGCTCCAGCCCTGCTCCCTGGCACAGGTCCCCAGGGCCCAGAGGATGTCACCGCACATCCTCACACTTTCCCCAGAACCAGTCCTGCTCAGGGTGCCTCTCAAAGGAGACCGTGCATCACCCTTGGGGGCTGAGGCATCAGCCTCTGGAGCTGGCCTGTGGGTGCAGGAGGGCACCCAGAGCCCTGCGGCCCAGCACAGGCCCCCCAGGCCAGCTGTGCCTTCTCTCCCTGCACTGAGCCAAGTGGAGGGTAGCAAGGACACGGGTGGTGGCCATCCTCCCTCCACAGCAGGCCCCTCCCCACAAGGGCGCTGTCTCCACAGATGCGGATGGCAGATGAGCCTGTCCGAGGTGTGGCTAGGGCCGGGGGGCCTCGGGGCCTCAGCCTCCTGGTGCAGCAGGTGCTGGGCAAGCCTCTGGACAAGACACAGCAGCTCTCTAACTGGGACCGACGGCCACTAAGCGAAGAGCAGCTGGTCTATGCAGGTGTGCCCCCTCCTCCCCCGTGCCCCCATGCCCCACACCCCATGCTGGAGGCTGAGTTGGACCTCTGCCCACCCCAGCTGCCGATGCCTACTGCCTATTGGAGGTATACCAAGCTCTGTGCAGGGAGCCTGCCCGCTTCCACCTGTTGGATAACCTGGCCAGGAGCCCAAGGCCTGGGCACAGCAAGAGATCTGGAGCTGGGGAACTGCCCGGCTGGCAGGAGGCCTCGGCTCCAGCTCTCCAGGTAGGTGAGGCCCTCAGGGTCCCTTTATCAGGGTGCTCGGGAGGAGGATCATTGGGTCACTGTCCTTAAAGCAGGAGGAGGCCTGGTTAGAGAGAGTCAGCAGCTTCCAAGAGGGCCCGGGCCCCCCACCCAGAGGGCAGGGAGGCTGGACGCCGGCTGACTTCCTAGAGGAGGTGGGGTCCCCAGCCCTCCAGACACGCGGCGTGGTGTGCCCCCAGGTCATGTCCCTGCGCTGCCCCTGGGCCCCTCACTGGCTTGGGTGCCACGGACCCCTGCCAGGAACGTGGGGCCCATCGTGGGGCCCAGTGCAGGCGACTCACCTCGTTTTGTTTCTGTTTTTCTGCTGCTTTCTTCCCTGAGCACATACTGCTCATGATTCTCTTTTAAAGTAAAAAAAACAAAAAAAAAGAGGTGCCCCACAGCCCCTGGGGCCTCGGTCCCCACAAGGCCGGGGGGGCCACAGGGTGGCGGGCTGCTGAGCAGGGCTCTGCTGCAGGTGCCCGTGGCCGGGGGCGAGGACGCTGCCCCTGCGGTGCCGGCTAGGGCCTTCCGTGTGGTGTGCGACAACATGCTGCAGGGGCTGGCGCGGAGCCTCCGCTGTCTGGGCGTTGACGCACTCGTGCTGGGCACCGGCGAGGACCACCGCAGAGCGGCCGAGGTGAGTGGGGGGTCCTGCCATCCGGGCTCAGGGTCCCCCTGTCTCCACGCCACCTGTCTGTCCACCGGGACAGGGGCTGCGTCTGCCTCCACGGCGCCTTAGCTGCAGGGACCGCGTCAGGGCAGAGGGCAGGGCTCCCTGAGCTGTCCAGGACGGAGTACTTACAGCTGCCCAGTGCCTTGGACTGCCGGCTGGAGCCCTGTTAGCCCCTCTGGGGTTGGGCCCAACAGTCAGACCCCGTGGTCCTGGCCCCTGCTGTCCTTTGGCCCCTGGAAACGCTGCCTGCCTGTAAGGCCTTCCCTCTTCCAAGAAGCCACATCCGGTGTGTAAGGGCTCCCCACAAAGGCCTCACCCACGGCAGGATCCCCCTTGGGGGGCACCAGCCTCAGGCCATGGAGGAACCCCAAGCAGGGGCCTCAGAATTCAGAGGTTTGAACTTGGATGGTAGTGTTTTGAACAGGTCTATCGACATGTAGTTCACACACCACATACCTCCCAGTTAAAGTGCACGTGTGTGGGTTTCTGCACTTCAGGGAGCTGTGCGGCTGTTGCCACAGCTGGCCCCGGGCATGCACCCACTTCACGTCGTCTCCCCCGCCCTACCTGCGGTCTGCCCCCTGTCCGTGGGCTGCCTTTCTGGGCATTACTCCCAGGCAGACCCTCCGTGGGGCCTTCGGCCTGGCCTCTTTCACTCTGTGTGCCCGCCTCACTCCTTTCCGGAAACAGAGCATTCCGGTGTGCTGAAGGGCCACGTTCTGCTCTACTCGGCCGCGGGGTGAGCCGTAGGGTTCTTGCCTACGTTGACGCACTCGTGCTGGGCACCGGCGAGGACCACCGCAGAGCGGCCGAGGTGAGTGGGGGGTCCTGCCATCCGGGCTCAGGGTCCCCCTGTCTCCACGCCACCTGTCTGTCCACCGGGACAGGGGCTGCGTCTGCCTCCACGGCGCCTTAGCTGCAGGGACCGCGTCAGGGCAGAGGGCAGGGCTCCCTGAGCTGTCCAGGACGGAGTACTTACAGCTGCCCAGTGCCTTGGACTGCCGGCTGGAGCCCTGTTAGCCCCTCTGGGGTTGGGCCCAACAGTCAGACCCCGTGGTCCTGGCCCCTGCTGTCCTTTGGCCCCTGGAAACGCTGCCTGCCTGTAAGGCCTTCCCTCTTCCAAGAAGCCACATCCGGTGTGTAAGGGCTCCCCACAAAGGCCTCACCCACGGCAGGATCCCCCTTGGGGGGCACCAGCCTCAGGCCATGGAGGAACCCCAAGCAGGGGCCTCAGAATTCAGAGGTTTGAACTTGGATGGTAGTGTTTTGAACAGGTCTATCGACATGTAGTTCACACACCACATACCTCCCAGTTAAAGTGCACGTGTGTGGGTTTCTGCACTTCAGGGAGCTGTGCGGCTGTTGCCACAGCTGGCCCCGGGCATGCACCCACTTCACGTCGTCTCCCCCGCCCTACCTGCGGTCTGCCCCCTGTCCGTGGGCTGCCTTTCTGGGCATTACTCCCAGGCAGACCCTCCGTGGGGCCTTCGGCCTGGCCTCTTTCACTCTGTGTGCCCGCCTCACTCCTTTCCGGAAACAGAGCATTCCGGTGTGCTGAAGGGCCACGTTCTGCTCTACTCGGCCGCGGGGTGAGCCGTAGGGTTCTTGCCTTTAGGGAACCACCTGCTGTGGATGAGCACAGAGGCGGCTGCATTGGAATTTTGGTTTTTAATCTGCGGTTTCCGTCACGTGTCCGGGAGCATCCTTCTGGGAAGGGGCCCCCATGCTCACCAGCTAGCCAGCCACAGCAGAGCTGGTCAGGGGCCCTGGGGCCGCACGGCAGTGGGGTTCACCCATCTGCCCGTGGCAAGAAAACACTGTGCACCAGGCCCGGGCAAGGCCACCTCGTATGGCTCAGCTCACTGATCCTCTGGCACCCCGGGCAGCTGTTCTGCACGCTGCCTCCCAACTAGTGAGGAGATGGGCTGGAAGAACAGAGGGGTCTGCCCGGGGGTGAGGCTCAGCAGGGCGCAGCCGGCCCTCGCCTCCGTGAATGGACGTCCACTCTCTCCCCCTCCCTGGCCCCTCACGGCCACCGCTCCCAGAGGCCTGGTCCCCACATCCAGGACAGAAGGAGGTGGGTGTGCCTCGGTATCCCTGGCCGCCATCCCTGTGGAGAACAACCCAGCCAGGGCTGTTCCCAGCTGATAGGGGCTGGGACCAAGGTGGCTAGCCTGGCTTCCCAAGGGCTCCAAACCAGGCATCAGCGGCCAGGGGCCCAGGAGCCAGCAGAGAGGTGCCTTCCCACCAGCCCCCAGGAGTGCAGGGGTCCCCAGCAAAAGGGGCGCAGGGTTTGGCCCCCACCGCCATGTCACACCTGTGAGCTTTGAGAAGTAATTACTTCTTGATTAGTTGACCGTGAACAGAGAGATCAGCTCAGACAGCTCTGGCGGCCCGTCACGTGGACCCTGATGGGCAGAAGCGAGGTCCAGAGCAGGGGAAGGACTCGGGCGACGTCGCTGCGGAGGGCAGTGGCCATGCGGCAAGGAGGTGGGACCTCAGTCCCAGAGGTCCTACAGGTCCCACAGCAACTGGGTCATGCCAGCCTGGGTGAACCTGCAAGCAGGCCCTCCCCCAGAGCCCAGCACTGAACAGGTGGGGGTCACGGAGCCCACCTGGGCCCGCTGCAGAGCTGTGTGCAGCTGGGGGAGGTTTGTCAGGGCCGCAGAAAGCCAGCGCAGCTGGCACCAGGAGTGCACGCTGCTGGCCACAGGCCTGCCAGCGGAAGGAGCTCTGGGTGAAGTTGTGGGCAGAGGCTGGGGGTTTTGGGGGTCGTCGCCCAGTCTGGAAGGCCCGAGCAAACTACTAGTGGGGACGCAGCGTCACCAGGCCCTTCCTCCCCAGGTGCCCCGGCCAACACCGGGTTCTGCAGACCCACCTGCAGGGGGGCCTCTGATTGGTCCTGGGCCTTCTGGGGTGGTCCTGTGACCCTACCAGATCAAAACGCACGTCCCTAGGGGAACAGAGGTCCCCAGAAGTCCATGGTGTGATGTGGCAGAAGTGACGCAGCACTTGCCCCTGGGTGCCCATCCTGGCGTCCTTGGAGGAGAGACTCCAAATGACCAGGTGCAGGCACCCTCAGGGCATTTTCCTCAAAGTATCGCGAATGACAGGAGCAGCTGGCGCACTGGGTGTGCTGCCCACGTAGGGCAGGAAGGGCGCCTGCAGCCCTGAGGCTCCTGTATCGGCCCCAGAGGCCTTGTCTCCCGCAGCCACCATGCCAGCCTGGGAGTGGCTGAGCTGCGGCACAAATCAGAGTCACAGTGAGGGCTGGCAAGCTGTAGCTCATCATATCTAATTTGCCTCCCTCTGATCAAGGACTCTGAGCGTCGCCATGCCTCACGTTCTGTGAAGTGCCTGTGCGAAGAGTTAGCAGGGCACCTCTGACCCCATCCTCAGAGAGACCTGCTGGCGCGGCTGTGCTGGCCGGCGTCTGGGCGCTTGGCTGGTGAACCGCTCCCCACTCAGGGCCGTGCAGACCGGGAGCTCTGTGGGCACCTGCTCTCCTCCTGGGGCTGCAGTGTGGGTGTGGGCTGCCCACCAGCCAGCGCCCCGTGCAGACCTTGGCTGCTGAAATCTCCCCTGGACGTCCCGACGGACCACGTGCCCCGCACACAAGTTGTCAGAGCTGCTGCGCATCCGCGTGCCTCCCCAAGCGGCCGGGAGCTGGCCCTGGCTCCCTCCGCACCTCCCTGTGTACCTCTGGCACCCGCTGGCTTTGTCTCCTGTCCTTTCCCCGCAATGAATCTTTGCCACGAGCATGACTATGTGCCGAGTCCTAGGGAGCCTCCAGAGCAGGGGTGGTTGCGGACCCTCAGCCCACGTCAGCCCAGGTCTCTCCCTGGTCCCGCCCTTTCTAGGGTCTCTGGACATCTGCAAACAGTGGAAGCTTCATGCCTTCCCTTCCAGTCCCTTACCCGTTACTCCAAGGAGACCTCCAGGGCCATGTTGAGTAGAAGTGCTGATAGTCGCCCCCTTTTTCTCGTTTCTGACTTGAGCGCAATGAAGCGAGGTGGTCCGCCAGGCCAAGGAAGGCCCCAACAATGGGCTGCACGCATCTATTGCGACATGAACCGAATTCTACCTAATGTGTCCTCTGTATCTGTTGAGATGGCCATGGAGGTTTTCTTCCCTTTAATCTGTGAACATGGTAAATGACATAATTAACATTTTAAATTTGGAAATAATCTTGCGTTTCTGGGTTAAATCCAGCTTGGCCAATATCACCCTTTTTATATATTGTAGGCTTTGGTTTGCAATTCTTGTTCTGAGCAGTCTGGGTCTATCTTCAGGAGGATGTGTGACATACAACCTGTCTTTGTCATCATCTTTTCTAGCCTCATAAACAAATTGGAGACTTTGTCCTCTTGTTTTCTGCAACTTTAAGTGATATTTGGATTTTCTTCTCAAATGTTGCTGACTTACTGCAAGGCGTCTTGAGCCGATGTTTCAGAGGGAGGAACTTCTGGGCCGACCCCCTTATTTGACAGTCGCAGGGCTGCAGTTCGCTGCATCTCGAGTCGCCCTCGGCCAGCCATCTTTCTCTAGGACGTGTGCATTCCGGCCGACCTTCCGGCTCTGCGAGGCGGCGGTGTTCTCCCGAGGTCGGCACACCTCTGCGGCTTTGTTTGCATTTCCATCCTCGTTCTTGCTTTCTTTGGTTCCCCTTTTTCCTGGGTCTGATAAAGATTTGTCGATTCAGTAAGTCTTCCCAAGTATCTAGTACTTGGCTTTCTTGGTCCATTCCACTGCATTTTTGTTCCTTTCTCATTAATTTCAATTATTATCTGCACAGTTTCCTGCCTTTTGCTTTCTTGGGGTTATTTCCGAGGGAAATGCTCAGTTTGTGAGTTTTCAGCCTTTTAAATTTTATGATGTAAACATTCAAGACCCTGAATTTTTCTTAAAGTGCCATTCTCACTGCATTCCATTAGTTTTGATATGTAGTATTTTCATTATTTTTTAGCTCTAATAATTTTTGAGTGTCCATTATAGTTGCTTATTTGACTTGAGAGTTCTTTAGAAGGCTGTTTTTCAATTTCGGAAAGCTTGGGCTTCTGGACCTTCACAGTTGTCTTTTTAAACGGATTTCCACCCTAACTGAATCAGTCTGCCAATTCAGGCATTTGTGAAGACTTGTTTTGTAGCCAAGTAGGTGACCCTTTTTATAAATGTCCCCTGAGGACTGTACAGGACACACATCGCCCCCCATCCTGCCCACACACACTCAGAAGATCGAGCGTACTTAATGTGCTGGTCAACTCATCTTGTCTTAGTCCTCTTAGAACTCTTACATCTTCCTGCTCAGCGAGATTTTCCATGATTGCGAGGCGAGCTTCTTTAGGCCTGGTTGTGCTCTTCGCCGTGAGTCCGCTGTAACCGACGTGAATGGATTTTCCCCAGCGTTCTTCGGTGGCTATTCGTATATCGTTTTCTCCCCTTTTCATTTTCAGCCCTCCTCCGCTCTTGCACGTAAGGTGTGTTTCTTGTAAGTGGCTTCTAGATGGATTTTTCAGAAATCCAGTCCGACAGCCTATGTCAGACTTTGACTTACTAGTTTAGTCCGTTTACATTCGTTGTAATTACTGATATAATTTGGTTTTAGTTGTATTACCCTAATGTGGGCTTTCTATTTGTCCTAATTTTTCTGTTCCTTTTTCCTGTTGTTTCTTACATTCTTTCAGCTTTTTTCCCTTGTTCTATTTTTTTCCTCTATTAGTTTGCTATAAATCTTATTTCTCTTCTTTTGAGGGTTACCCTAGAAATTTTAACATGTATATTTGAGTTAACAGTGTCTAAAGTTAAAGCTAATACAGCAATCTTAGATCAATTTAGCTTTTTCACCCCTTCCCATCTTACCTGCTCTTATTTTCTGGTATCTTAACACAATGTGGTTTTTCTTAATCCTACAAATTAGACAATATTGCATTTGTTTTATGTAGTCAGTGGCTTTTAGAGTTTATGATGTGTGGATGCGCACGTGCATAACAGACCTTGTGCCAAGGAAAAGAAAGCTCTTTCTTGCTAAAAGAAGTTCCTTTGCTCTGTGTTTTAGTTTGGGCCATGTTCCCCTGAAAAGTCCCTATTTCCTCTCTTTCCTGGAGGAGAGCGCTGCTGGGTTTGTAGAAACAGCCCGCACTGCCTTGCGGCATCCAATGCCACTGAAGACCCCCGCCGCCCGCCCTGCACAGCTTCTGTGAGGCCCGCCTGCCTCTCTCCCGACAGCCTCTCATTTGGCTCTGTCCTCGTATTTACTTTAGTTGTGTGTGTGTTTTCAATTTTGTTTTTTATTCATCACATACGTGTATATTTTATTTTCACTACAGATTAACCAGTGGCTTGCTTTTTTTCCCTTATTTTTTTGTGATAAAATATGCACGAAATTCATAATTTTAACCTTATCTAAGGGTACAACTTAGCGGCATTAAGTACACGCACAAAATTGTATGATTGTCACTACCATCTGTTTCCAGGATTTTGTCATCATCCCAAACAAAAACTGTACATTAAACAATCGTTCAGTCCCTGGCAGCCACCATTCCACTTTCTGTCTCAGTGAATTTTATTTTAGGGCCCTCCTATGAGTGGAATCATACAATATCTGTCCTTTTGTGTCTAGCTTATTTCACTTATTTCACATAAATGTCTTCAAAGTCCATCCATGTTATAGCATGTATCAGAATTCCCTTCTTTTTAAAGCTGAAGAAAGTCCCATCATATGTATATATGTGTGTGTACTTTTATCTGGTTGTTTGCCCATCCGTCTGGCTATGGTAAGTGATGCTGCCATGTACCTTGGTGGGCACGTGTGTGCTCAAGCCCACTGCCCTCAGCTTCCTAGGGCGTTCCCCTGCAAGTGGAATCACTGGGTCACATGGTAATTCTGTACTTTCTGAGGAACTGTCCTCCTGTTCTCCCCAGCAGCTGGGCCATTCGACACCCTCCCCAGTAGTGCATGAGGGCTTCAGTTTTTCTACATCCTCACCAACACTTATTTTCCTTAAAAAAAAAAAAGCCATCCTAGTGGGTGTGAAGTGGCATCTCACTGTGGCTTTGATCTGCATTTCCCTAATCCCATGTGTTTGTTGGCCTGCTGAGCATCTTCAGAGGATGTCCAAGTCTCTTGCCTATTTTTTAGTTGGGTCATTAGCTTCTTTCTTGTTGAACTGTGGGAGTTCCTTATATATTCTGGATATTAATCCCTGACCAGATTTGCAAATATTTTTCTCTCATTCTGTGGGTTGCCCGTTTCCTGATAGTGTCCTATGATGTACAAAAGTTTCTAATTTTCATGAGGTCTAACTTACCTATAGCTTGTCCTTGCTCTTAGTGCCTTATCCAGGAAACCACTGCCAAATGTGACATCATGACACGTTCCCATGCTTTAGAGTTTTACAGTTTTAGATCTTACATTTGTAAGTCAGCCCCTTGCCGTCTCCAAAGATAACTGATGATTTTTAAGGAACCACGCTGAGCACAGTAACCTGATCATACTTCATGTCTCTGTCCATGCTGCCGTCACCTCCCGGGTGCACAGTGAGTCCCTCTGTGGGCGTGTGGGTGCTTTCATTACATCCTGGGTCCCTCTGAAGTGACACCTGTAGACTTGGCTGACATCTTTGCTTCCTGATACAAGATGATGTTTCAGCTTCATTGTGTGCATTTTCTGCCTCAGACCTTGAATCAGCTATTTCTCCAAAAAGCCCTTGTTCCCTCTAGCAAGCAGCCTGTTTAGAAGCCAGTCTGGGTACAAGGTGCTCGTGGCTACAGGGCTGGTTCTTGTTTCTAGGTCTTAGTGGTAGGCAGAGACATGAAATACTTTTAAATATGTGTACGTATAATATAGATCAGAAATTCATACTGCAACTTTCTATTCAGATCTGGGATTTATTGTGACATTTCCTTAATTTGAATTCGTATCTTCTTTTTCTCAGCTGAGAATTCTAACACTCACGGCACCAGTGTCACGCGTTGCACGTCCCAGTGCACAGACGAGCCGGAATGGTGATGTCTGTGCTCGCCAGCCGCGGAATGGCGGCCAGTGCTTCTCGTGTTTGTAGCGCAGCACCCAGAGGCAGAAGGTCCATTTGCTGTGTTTTCATGTCACTTGGAATTCTTGTCTCTTTGTGGTTCATTTGCTTCATCTTTGGATTTTTAGAGATTATTCTTTGAGTTTCTTTTGTTTGCATGACTCTAAGACCAAATCTACAGAACAAGGTAATGCCCAGGACTGAGGCTGCAGGAACTGACAGCTGCTCAGGTCCAGGCAGAGGCCGCTCTGGACGACCGGATGGGGCCCAGGGAAGGTGGGGAGCAGAAGCAGCCCGGTCCCAGGAGCTAGCGTGCCCACCTCACCTGTCGGTCTTGCCTCCTGCACAGGTTGCCAGGCAGGAGGAAAGGGTCATCCTGACGTCAGGGCTGCCATACCACAAGGTGGGGACCCCACAGACAACTCATTCTGAGCCTCACCTTCCCAAGGGAGCCTCAGCCTGGCCCCTCAGCCACCCCCACCTCGGGATCTGCGCCCCACCCTGAGCCTGGGGTGGCAGGTGGACCTGGGAAGGTTCTGGGTTCTGTGGCCGCCGCTCAGCAGGCACATCTCTCTGCAGCTCCGGGCCCAGGTCGGGGCTGGGCGCTGCCTCCGGGTGGACTGCTCCCTCAAGGCACGGCAGCAGGCAAAGGCTGTGCTCAGGCATTTCAACGTGCACGTCACCCACGCAGACATCTTCAGCCGCTGCCAGGTGGGTCCCATTGCCCCAGGGCCGCCAGGAGCCACCTCTGTGACAGGCAGGGCCGCCGCGTGTCCCTGGCTAGCTGTAGGATGCCAGAGTCTGTGCGCCTGGGGGTTCTGCTCAGCCACGTTCTGCGGTGGCCTTTGCCTGACCTGAGCGTCATCTCTTTCTCTCACCCCCAACCCAGACACCCATGTGCGCAGTGGAGGGTGGGGGCTGCAGGAGGTGGCAGAGCATTTCTCGGGGCTGGCATGGCCAAGGCAGGCAGCTGCGGACTGAGGATACCCAGGGTTCTGTGCCCAGGGTCGGCCCCTGGGGCTTCTGGATGAGGTAAAGGGAGCCCATGGAAGTTGCATGTGGCTGGTGAGGCTCCTGTTTTCCAAGAGTCAAGTGCAGAGTCGCTGGCGGCCCTGGGCGTCTCCTGACATCCAGGGAGGTCTGGGTGAGGAGGTCCTGTGGGGGTACAGCCACTTCCAAGCCCCAGACCTGCGAGGGTCTGCGGCCGGGCCGCTCTTCTCTCCCTCCCCAGCTGGCCTTGCTGCACTGGCCGAGCTCTCAGGCCCCCATGCTGTCTGGCTGGGCCTTTGTGCCTGGACCTGACAGGCCGGGGCATGGCTGCCACCTGCGTCGGGGATCCCATGGGGTACAGCAGGTGGAGTGGGCGGAGGGGGCAGTCCCAGTGCACCATGGCCCCTGGTGCGGCATGCTGGCTGTCCCCGAATATTCTGCAGTTCAGGTCAGGACGGTGTCCACTGGGAGCAGCTTCCCAAGCCCAGCTGTTCAGCAGAAGCTGGGCCTCACTTTCACGGTACCAGGAGAGGGGCAGCCCCACCCAGGCACACAGGGACTTCAACGCTGGCCTGACTGGTCCATTAGAGAGCCATGAGCCGCAGAGTCTCAGGAAATCTGCTGCGACCTGGCGTTTCTGCAGCCAGGGCCCTCAGGGCTGGCACCAACCAGGGCAGGCGGGAGGTGGGAGGGAGAAGGCCCGGTCTCAAGTCCGCAGAGCCAGGGCCTGGGTTCAGTCCACGCAGACCAGGCGCCCCTGGGCCTTTTCCTTTGCTGGGGCTCAGGGAAGACAGGAACCGGCTGCTGCTTCTCTCTGTGATCAAGCCGGCAAGTGTTGTAAAGACCCCAGGACGTCCGGGACGCCGGGGAGGCATTTTAATGAGCTTTTCAGAGCCTCTGCTGCTGTGTTTTCTTGAGAAAACAGGAAGTTGGGTAGCTGGGAGGAAACCCCCATGGGGGCCCCGGGAAGCGTGTGCTGGGGAGCAGCCTGACACTCCTTCAGACCCACGATGGCCAGGCAGGGAGGTCAGGCCAGTCGCCGCACCCCCGCTCTGAAGAGTGTCCCCAGCCTGCGCCTCCGCCAACTGCCCCCCACCCAGGGCTCTGCCTCCTGGCTCCGCCGGCCCCAGGCAAGGATGTCCCTGCCCTGTGGGGCAGGAGGGCGTGGCCCCAGTACAGGGCTGTGTCAGAGCGCCAGGGGCAGGCGGGGGCAAAGCTGCAGCCTGGCCAGGACGGGCTGTGGCCTCACCCCAGGGAGGGCCATGCCCAGCCACCCCGGGACAGGGCGCAGCCACATCAGGGCAGCAGAGCCGTGGGGGCAGGTCTGGGGCCTGTCCAGCTGCAGCAAGCCGGGCGGATTTGGAGCGTTCTGACCACAGGGCAGGGGTGGGAGACCTGGGAGCAGGCACTGCGCCTGCCCAGGTGAGGGGTGCTGGGGGCTCGCGCCTAAATGGCAGCTGTGGCGGGTGAGGAGTAGAGGATCCGAATACAATTTTAAAGTGTGGTGGGGTTCCTAGGTTTTAGAGCCCCAACCCACCCGGAGGGAAGGGGCTGGGGCTGGGCTCCCTGGGGTCTGGTCCGGACAGGCATTGGCACCAGCATGCACAAGGACCCCCAGGGGACAGGGTGTGGAGAAGGGGAGCATGGGCTTCCTCAGCCCCCAACCCTCAGCCCGTCTGTGCACAGTAAGCAGGCATTCCGTAGCCATCAGCTGGTGAGGGCAGAGATAGGGTCCATGGCTTGGGGCCGTGTGGCTGCCCTGGACCCAAGAGCAGAAAGGACACACCCCAGAGGGCCAGTGGGGTGGGTTGGGGCCCAGGGGGAGGCCTGGGTGTGGCGTGAGGCGGGCACTGGCACCCACTGCACCTTTGCGAAGAAGAATGGGCCCCCGGCTGGGGAGCCTCCTGGCCCCACAGTCCCATCGCCTCCTGAGCTCAGCCCTAGAGGAAGGTGGGCTGGCCCTGCCCCAGGGCGGGACCCCCTGGCTGATGCCAGTGTTGCAGAGGGTCCGCCTGCAGAGAGGCCCTGGAAGGCTGGCATGATGGGGCTGGACAGGTAGAGGGGTGGGTCTCTGAAGAACCAAGATTTCTAAATGTGATCCTGGCAGGATGGGAGGGCTGAGCCCTGGCAGCAGCCGATTAGGGTCTTAGGGCATGTTTCCCAGACTACAGACCTGGTCAGGGTCACCGTGAGCTGAGGCATCTGCGTACCAGGGCTGGTGGGCCTCGGGCCATGTTACCACCACCAGCTCCCAGAACCCCTGGGCAAAGCCCAGAGCTTAGCCTGAGCAGCAGCCGGGAGCCACCCACCCTATGCCCTGACCACCCGACTTCTGAAGCCGGAGAGATGCTGTCTCAGGGCTGATTGAGGTGGGCCAGTGGTCCCCTACAGGTGGATCCTGAGAAGCCCATTAAAGGTGCTGCCAGGTGCCCCAAGGTGGTGGCCAGGCGCCTGTGTGGCTGCAAACCCCTGCTCGGCCCTGGGGGGCCAGTGTGGGATGGGTTGGTTAGGAAACCCACCCAGGCATCAGAGGGTGCCCGCCCCTGGCCAGCAGCCTGAGCACCCAGCACTGTTGTGCACCCCCCTGCCCCCACCCAGGAGGCTCCCACCGCCAGGCCAGGCCACGTTCTTTTCCTTCCTTCTGCTATTTTGGTGCTGTTCCCAGAGGGAGAGTCCCCTCTGCACACGGAGCGTTCCCAGAGCCTGGCTGCTCTCCGGGCTGCACGTCAGGGCAAAAGGTGGGAGGCACAGGGAGACACAGAGGCCCAGGTGCTGGGCAAGGGGGCCTCACCATGCCTCCCCCAGGGCCCAGCTGTCCCCGGGCGGTGCAGGCCTCCATGTGGCATGTGCCCTCGGCACCAGGATCCACCTTCTGGGAGTCAGTGAGGACAGAGCCCCACGGGGCCTGGGGACACATGGCAGAGCCTCTGTCCGGCGGGGCCCAGCTGCCTGCCACCCCAGGGCCCAGCGGGCCTCTTATAGGGGCAGGGGCCTAGTCCCTGAAGCTGGTGACCTGCCTGTGACTGTCCATCAGGAGCGTCCGCCGAGAGCGTGTTCCCAGTGCCGTCCACCATGGGAAAGTATTTTATCAAAGAAATTTGAGTTAAAAAAAGCCCAGTGCAAGTCCCTGACATGGCCAGGCATAATGTCTATTTTTACTGTCCCTCTGGCCCCCTCCACAATGGTGGGGAGCAGGCTGTGCCCCTGTGTGGGAGTGGGGGTGTCCTGGAAGTCAGTGACGTCAGGTCCTGGAAGTGGCACCGGGAGGGGAAGCCCCTACAGGACGGTGAGCTGCCTCGGGGAGCTCGGGGAGAGCGGCTGCGGTTCAGGGGGCTGGGCCTGGGGCAGGGCCCGGGGACACCCCAGGCGAGCCTGTCCCAGGCTGATTCCTGCCAGAGGAGAGGACTGTGGGCAGAGGGCCCTGGGGATGCAAGGGAGGGCCCACACCCAGACCCCTGGCTAGCTGGGGTGCCAAGGCCTGGGGACCCTCCCTCCACCCTGGCGACCGACTGTGTGCACAGGGACAGACAGGAAGAGGCACGGTGGCCGCTGACCCCGCCCTCCCCGGCCTTTGTGCTCTGTGGCCCCCAGCCCCGTTCCCACACTCGGTGCCCCTGGGGTCACACAGGCACAAAGGCTTGGGAGGGTTGGCCACCACCCTGCACAGGGAGAGACCCCAGCCCGCTGCTCCTGGGGCCGTGGGAGGGGCTGGCCATGGGGCTGGGGGAGGACGGGTCAGGGCTGTGGCATGGAGGGTCTACTGCCGTCGGGGCTTCCAGGGCAGTGGGAGCTGCTGGGGTTCTTGGTGGGGCTGGGACCCAGCGTGCCCGCCCAGGCGGTGGCCCCACTGGCAAGCTTAGCACAGTGTCTGGGGCTCATCACTCCATGAAGCTGCCCTGCAGCCCTCCCCACGGCCTGTCCCTCCCCGCCCCCTCCCCTTCCACAAAAGCCCTGGGTCTCAGCCAGAGCCCAGCTTCAGTTCCCAGCAGATGGCTCTGGGGGTCCCCAGCTCCTGGCACCCCTGGGCTGGCACAACCACCACCCACAGCCTGACACCAGAGCAGGGCTGCCACTGGGCTCCGTGAGCTGCTCTAGCCCTTCCTCGGCACCAGGAGTGGCCCCCGCGTTGTCCGAGACACGTAATGAGGACACACCCGCCCTCTGCCCCAGCCCACCTCCCCCAGGCCGCTCAGGTGCCCCCTCCTTGGGAGGGGCCTGAGCTGAGGGGAGCCCACAGGGGGGAGTCCTATGCCTGCAGCCTTAGGGCCTGTCGAGGCTCCAGCCCGCGACTCAGCGGGCGCCAGGGGCAGCAGAGGATTGGGCTCTGAGGGCACGGAAGAGCAGAGCCCAGTGACCTCCCTGCCATAGGCAAGAGGGCAGGGGCAGCCAAGGCTGTGGGCCCAGGAAGGGTGTACAGCATGCCAAGGTCCCGTGGCCGGGGCTGGGGATTGCGGCAGGTTGGGGCGCACCCCACCCCCGATGTCAGCACACTGCAGCCCTCAGGCTGAAGCACATGACATTCAGCTTCAGCATCCATAAATAAAAGGCTGCTGGCACCAGCACTGCCGTGGCTGCGTTCACAGGGCGTGAGCAGCGGGAAAGCCCCCAGCCCTAATTCTGCCTCCCCCAGCCGGGGGTCTGTGGCAGGGACTGACAGTGCCTGGAGGCCTGGCTGGCAGGCGATGGGGAGGGAGCGATTCTTCGTTCTGAACCACTGCCAG